GGCGAGGGGGTTTCTCCAAGGAGGATTTGTAGTTTCTTATGCAATTGTTTTAGGGTGCTACTAGCTGAAATTCTGAGCTTGAGGGGTTTGGGGACCATCCATGTATTGTGAGTTAGTGCGGCGGTCCTAAGGTTCAAGACTGGCAGTGACTCCCAGGGTTGTTGGGGGCAGATTTAGGTTTTCTATTTCAAATTTATACCTAGGGTATAGCCCGTTTGGGTTGCAGTCTTAGGGAAGGAGGATCTTCTATTTGACTCTTCACTTTGGGCAGGCCCTCACCTTCTCCACGGTGAGGCTGTGAAACTCAAGTTCAGCTGCTTGGACAAATGCTATCAAGGCACTGCCCTCAGCACTTAGCTAGTCCCTGAGTTTTCATCTGTACTCAGTTCTTAGCCTGAGTACTCCTGTCTTGCCAGGTTATGGATTTATTTTCCATATTACCTAAGGTCAGCATTTTTCATTTTCAGAAGGAGGGCTCATCAAGGTAGCTGCACACCACATTGCTAGAGATATAAATGTCTCCTCAAATCCTGAGCTCTCACACCATCAAGATTCTCATCTCACCTCGCCAACCATTCCTTTGGTATCTTCCACTGACCACTGAGAAGTGGTCTTCAAGCCTCAGTTCTCAGCAGTACAAAGGGCAGTTAGGGAGCATTAACCTACAACTATTTAATGCCATTCTGACAATTCCCCAGCAAAAGAACTCAGCTTACACCTCTTATCCAAACTGCAGCCTTAATTTCACCAAAAAATTCTCTCTGGTTGCCTTACCAAGTTCCTTGCTTATATCGAAAGCACTACTTTCTCCAAATGTAAAATTTTTAGCTTAAATCATGAACTAAGTGATACTGTTTTCCTTTGAAACAACCTCTTTTTTCCTAAGTCTATCCTAACTTCATGTCTTATTACTTCTTATAGAGATGAATCCAATATGTTTTGTTCACTTACCTGCCTTCACTGTGTCTACTTTCAAATTCACCTTTCTGGAATAGTTTTTATTATATTCCCCCTAAACTTAAAGCTATTCCTTATCTTGCCTCGATAATTTTAGTTCAACACATTTTGAGCAAATGCCTACTAACTGCCAAGCAGTCTACAAAAATTTGGGATACTGTCAGTTTTCTATTGCTGCTGTAACAAATCGCCACAAATTTAGTGGCTTAAAAGAACAACAAAAATCTATTGTGTTACAGTTCTGTAGGTCAGAAGTCTGATGGGGTCTCATTGGACTAAAATCACTCTTGGTTCCTCCCTTCTGTGGGACTAAGGTTCCATTCTCCTGCTGGCTGTAACTGAGGGCTATTCTCAGCCCCTTAAAGTGGAGGCATTTCCTTCCCTCATCTTCCAGGCCGGCAATGGTCACATCATTTCATGGCATCTTTCCGACCCACTTTTCTGCCTTCCTCTTTTGCTGTTAGGGTTTCATGTGACTCGATCAGGCCTTCCTGGATAATGCAGGCTAATCTCCCCATCTCGAGGTCCTTAACCCTAATCACACCTGCAAAGTTTCTTTTGCCAATATGAGCTAACATAGAAGCCACAGGTTCTGGGGATTAGGTCTAGGACAGGGGTCCCCACCCACCAGGTCACTTACCAGTACCAGTTCACGGCCTGTTAGGAATCAGCCGTGATTCACAACACAGCGCAGCACAGCAGGAGGCGACAGGTGGGCAAGCAAGCATCACCGCTGGCGCTGTGTCTCTTGTCCAATTTCCATTTCTGAAAAAAATGCCCTTGAGATTTTGATAGGTATTTCATTGAAACTGTAGATTGCTTTGGATGGCATTGACAACTTAACAATATCAAGTCTTCCAATCGGTGAACATAAGATGTCTTCCCATGTACTGGTATCTGCCAATTAGTGGCAGCATTAGATTCTCATAGGAGCACGAACTCTATTGTGAACTGCACATGCCAGGCATCTAGCTTGCATGCTTCTTATGAGAATCTAATGCCTGATGATCTGAGGTTGAAGTTTCATCCTGAAACACCCCCTAAACCCCCACCCAGTCTGTGGGAAAATTGCCTTCCATGAAACCGGTCCCTGGTGCCAAAGAGGTAAGGGACTGCTGATCTAGAACATCTTTGAGGGCTGTAATTCTGCTTACCACGGACACATAGGTGAAGAGGGCCTATGTCTGTCTCTGAGGCTTTAAGGCAGGCAGAAACAGAGTGCAAACAAGTAAGCACCCACCTTCCGCTGTCTCAGAGAGGGCTGAGGACAGAGAGGAGGAAACTAGCAAGAATGTTTGCAAAGGTCAGGAAGGCCTTACAGTCTCGGTGAGGGGAGAGCCTGCTAGATAGGAATGGGAGTTCTTCTAACAGGAAGAGACGGCAAATAAAAGTGTGAGAAGCCTATGCAGTGTTTGGCAGGCTTACATAATCACAAGTGATTCCACGTGACTAATAGGAGTAAGGGGGTGGATGGCGATGTTTTAAAAGATTAAGAAGCTGGCCGTGGTGGTGTGCACCTGTAGTCTTAGCTACTTGGGAGGCTGAGGCATGAGAATCACTTGAGCCCGGGAGATGGAGGTTGCAGTGAGCCGAGATCACACCACTGCACTCCAGATTGTGCTACCGAGTGAGATTCAATCTCCAAAAACAAAAAGAGGTGAAACACCTCATCATATTGTACTCTGTTTTCTTTTCAGCATTAATAGGAGAAGCAGAATCTTATTTCAGGAAAATAACTCTTGGAACAGAACAGCAGGCAACCTGAAGAGAAGAGACTGGAGAAAGGGAGACAAATGTAAAACCTTGCTGACACTTACAGGAGAAAAGGAAATGAACACAGTGAGCGCGGGGACAGGGAGACAGGAAGAGCTCTGCAGTTGGAGGAACAAACTTTGCCGATGAGGAGACGTGACCTGTGTTTAGCTGCACCCCTGGAGGGCAGAAACTGCTGAGGAGCGAGCCCAGCAACACCAGAGGTTAGGGATGAAGCCTGGGCAGTGGGCAAGAGAAACTCTTTGGGGACACGTGGTTCATTTTAGGAGACAGTTAAACTTCCTACAAAGTTTGTACATAATTATGCACTTATTTCTTAATTCAACAACAAAAAAATAATTTGGCAGAGCTTTATGGGGAGCAGCACTTAGGTTTAAAGAGTTGATGATACGATTATCTTCATTTAGCTTATTTCCTATGCTAAAACATTTCTTAAAGTTGTGCAGCTATTACTATTCAAGTATTTTTAAATTACCAAATATTTGCTAGATTGACATGTGTTGTTTAACTTTTCCTAGTGAGACTGTAAACTCCTATAGCTAGGATACTCATTATTTCTTCCAAGTTTCCTCTCAATACTTAGCATCTAGATAGGTAGGTTAAAAACACACTTGTGACCTATCATGTAGATCATTTTAATTATCCTACACCAAGAATCTTGGTCTTCACCATTGGCATTCAAATTGCCTGCCATCTTTACTTGCCAGTGTTACAGAATTCAAGGTAAATTGAGGCAGCAACACGGTGACAGACGGCTGTTCATCTTCTCAATGATCAGCCACCCCAGTCACTGTCCACTGGAAATGTGCATAGTGCAAGGGAACACCTTGATTTTTAATTGCACTTTACATTAACTTAAAAACCGGCACTAATTCAGTTACTGGAAGACACTTAACGGTGTTTTGAATAAGGTGCATATATAAACATATGCAATAGACTTTTTCAACTAGAAGAGGTATGAAATCTAAATACAGATCAAGTGTTTCCAACGAAAATTTCAGAATGGAGATACCGTCTAAGTGTAAAATACACACTGGATTTTAAAGACTTGGCACCCCTCAAATAGTAAAAATACCTCAGTAATTTCTAAAAATATTACTTCTGGCAGAAGGAATATGTGAGTGTATTGTCTACATATCAAAATTAATTTAAAAACATTTGTTGTAGCTACTAAAAATTTTCAAATTATACACATTTTTCCCATTATATTTCTATTAGATGAACTTAGCCAGATGAAAATAGCTGGGTTAAACAAAAGATAAAGATTTCCTTTGCTTGTAAGAAATAATTTTTCTGATCTAATCATTTTTTCTAAGAAGCATTTACTTGAAATCTTTTTATTTTTATATGTTCATCTAAGTCCCTCTTAGTCACCAGACCAATGTTTAACAGCTGTGCAAGCCAGTTGGCTTTAGACAGCTCCTGGAGTTTTAAAGGATTATTTCTTGGCAGCTTTTGAAAAAATGGCTGTAATTGAAAGGTTAATCAAATCAGTCATATTTGTATCTTGGTTCTATAAACACCCTGTCTCCACCGAAGATTAAACAGACGCATTATACTCTACCCAGAAGGCCCATTTATTCTGTAATTATCATCACTTTCCTTCAAGCTTCTAAGTAGTAAGGAAGTACTTTGAATACTTTGCAAATGAAAATTCTATTCTGATTTATGAAGCCCTTCTGCACTTGCAGGATTCTATAGAATCTAAAATATTTTCGAGCAACACCAACTCTACCTGTGCATGAGGGAAAAGGTCAGTTCTCCCTCTACTTAGAGGTAAGTACATAGCTCTCAGCTTATTTAGGCACAAAAATATAAGCTTAAAAGCAGACCCAAAGTTTGTTAAAAACAACCGGCTCTGAATGTTGATGACAGCGCTGGCCCACAGGACCTACAGGTATTAGCGGTTACTGCTCTGCTCGTCTTCAACAAACCGGGGGTCTCCCACTATTTTATTGACCTATAATCCAACAAGTGTACCGCAACAGGACCCGGAAAGAAGCGGGATGGATGGAGGCTCTGCAGCGTCGCCGGCACCGGCTCTCACTGGCTGCGCCTGTGCTTAGTGACTGTGAAATCATCTGAGCCCACCCCTGCCTGGGACGGAGTTTATCACAGTGACAAAAAATGGCTGGCTTCCAGAAATTATTACTTGAGGTAAAAGTTTACTAGAAAATAGCTTGTCTTGAAATCACTTGAAATGTGATCCAGTTTGATGTACATTATAAGTTATGCAAGAAAATGTGGAATGATAAAGGATTATTCAATTCTAAGTTCAAAAGTACATTTATTTAAAATGTGGGTAAGATATCAATATAAAAGAAAACAGAGTATAAGAAATGAAAATAATCAAAGTACAAAACATTTCAAATCTTAAACATCCATAATTTAGAGATAGGAAGGTCTTTATTTACACCATTTTATTACTAGTTAAAGTCCCGTAACAGTTTTCTGAAAACATTTAAAAACCTGGCAAATGAATCATAAAACCTAATGTGGGCTTTTAAAGTCATATAATACAAAACATAATTTATGTTTCCTCAGAATAAAATTGCACATCTTAAAAAGATGCAGTATATTAATTCTATCTGTCTTCCTGGCTTTGCAGTCTGATTCCCCAAGAAAGCAGCTGGAAAACAGGAGCGTGTGAAGGAAGCACGCGGCTCCTTGCCACCAGACAGCCGGCCACGCACCGCAGGAGTCCACACACACGGCAGCCTAGACATCATCAGTTAAACTTATATGTAGGCTTGTTGAGGAAAACAACTTCCAAACACAAGGCAAAAGACAAACGTGAAACCAAGGGTTCCAACATCCATCACCCAGGTTCAGGCACACCCTTGGGGGAATGCTACAGCCTCTTTCTTACCCACCCAAACCAGCCGCCCTCCTGCACACCCACATCACAGACGACTTTCAGCCCACCCCTGACAGGCTCACTCAGCCCAGGACATCAGCCCCTGTGCCAGCTCCCCAGAAGATCCACCGTGCAGCTAGAGCTGAAGCCCAGCAATAGCTACAGTGTCCTTTAAGTTAACATGTGCAACACACAACCCCCAAGAGATGACATCCCCAAAGCCCCACCACAAATAACTGACTCCTACCGATACCTTCAGGAGCAGATGCTGACCTCTGCAATTCTACACCGTCCACTATGGGCAAAATTAATTGAGCTACAGCTATGAAAAAAGGCCCCCAAGGTAATTAATACTCACAAGTCAACCGTACGACTTTTAAAGCAATTTCTTTTGAAAGTAATAGTAGTAAAGAATAGGCTTTCACAAATATAAATATGAATGCTAGAAAAAAGTCTGAAAAAATGCAAAGGTATACATTGTGTAAAAGCCAAATGTTTACAGCGTATCTGTAAAAATTTAACAGGCCTCTTACCATTTTTATCAGTAGTGCAAGCAATAATTTCAATAGGTCGAGGCATGGAATGCACTAAGCTCTGGTATGAATAAGAGGTTTCTGCACCAAGGCTCATTCCAACTAGACAGGTTATTTATGGCTAAACATGACATTGGCTTCTGGAACTCAGGCAAATTTTACTCCTTTTTATTTATTTTTTTTATTTTTTAATTTTTTGGTAAGACAGAGTTTCACTCTTGTTGCCCAGGCTGGAGTGCAATGGCATGATCTTGGCTCACTGCAAACCCTGCCTTCCAGGGTTAAGTGATTCTCCTGCCTCAGTCTTCTGAGTAGCTGTGATCACAGGTGCCTGCCACCACACCTGGCTAATTTTTTCTATTTTTAGTAAAGACCGGGTTTCACATTGTTGGCCAGGCTGGTCTTGAACTCCTTATCTCAGGTGATCCGCCCGCCTCAGCCTCCCATGTTGGGATTATAGGCGTGAGCCACTGCAAGAGGTCAAATTTTACTCTTAAAAGTGCTTTTCTCTCAGTAATAGCATCTTCTATCTGTTATTACAACCATAAGCTCTTTAGAGTTAAAAGGAAAATGTAGCCGGGCGCGGTGGCTCAAGCCTGTAATCCCAGCACTTTGGGAGGCTGAGGCGGGTGGATCACGAGGTCAAGAGATCGAGACCATCCTGGTCAACATGGTGAAACCCCGTCTCTACTAAAAAAAAAATACAAAAAATTAGCTGAGCATTGTGGCGCGTGCCTGTAATCCCAGCTACTCAGGAGGCTGAGACAGGAGAATTGCCTGACCCCAGGAGGCGGAGGTTGCGGTGAGCCGAGATCGCGCCATTGCACTCCAGCCTGGGTAATAAGAGTGAAACTCCGTCTCAAAAAAAAAAAAAAAAAAAAAAAAAAAAAAAGGAAAATGTTTGACAAATGTAACTGACTGGATGAATGTCAATGTATTTAAATGTAAATATACTTAAATGTGATTACCTGGATGAAATAGGCACATATGAAGAGAAAAAAAAAAAAAAAACTCAGCAAGGATGGATGTCATTCTGACCTCTGTGCCTTACTGAAGCAGTCCTACCCCAAACACAAAATTCCCCCGCGTAAGCAATGGTCCACTGAGGCCGATGCTGGTCAGGGGCGACAGAAGCTCCTGCCCTCACAGAGAGGTGGAGCTCAGCCCTCCAGCCCTATTGCACCAGCCCCAGGGAGAAGTCCTGAGAAACACGGCCTGAGAGCAGGCCTCTGCACCAGAAAACGGAAGTTGAAACACAAGTGTTCCCACAAGGACCTGGATGGCATGTTTTGCTTCACTGAGGGGCTGCTCATACATTAAAATAATAATTCAGAGATTTTTAGTAAGGGCTACACATACAGATGACGAGCTTTATTTTTTCCTGAATGTCTGAATGTCTGAAAGAAAAAATCGTGTGTCATCATTCTGAAGACTGACCTTAAGTAGTTTATTTCCCATCTCAAAGTTATATGAACTAAATTTCATTCTGAAAACTACAAACTCAGAAATGAACTGATAAAAAGAAACATGTAAGATTTTTTTGCAATTATTTCTATTTTATCTAATTGTCAAATACTTTAATGCCAATATAAATAGACAGCATAGATTCTAATCAACATCACCTATTAAAACTGAACTCTCAGTAAGTTAAGGGAAAGTTTTTACTTGCAACTCAAATGAATATTCTGAAGAGAAAGAACTGTTCACTGCAAAAATCATAACAGCAAAGAAAGGAAAAATGGCTTGTAAAACAGGAAAGGTACTGCCTTATTAATCTGGAAACTCAATTTCATATCCAACCCACTTACTTTTTATTCTCTTTTGAAAAGGATATGATTCGTAGTCCAGCGTTTGTGTGAGCACTCCAGTCAGAACAAACTCTGCATTGTGAACATCTGAACGGGATGGAAGCAGAGACTGTTAGAGGTGCACTGCTGTGTGTACACACACTCACACACGCAAGCAGGGAAACGTACCTATGCCTCTGGCAAAATATTCTCGGCATAAATGAAGGTCATTTTCACAGGATATTAAAATTATTTCCGACAAACTCTAAGGAAAAGAAAATGAGTTTCTCAGTGACTGAACCCTGAATCCGACACAAGACAACGACCGACTCGCTGGCGGACTCACTCTACCCACCGAGTTCTGCTTGTGCTCCATGAGTTTCCGGAAAGATGGCTGCTTGGATAACACCTTTCCTCCTGCACACTCTACGATTGATCTCATCGTGGAAAGACTTGGGCAGATTCCAGGTGTGATGTAAAAATACTTTGCCTAAAATTAAATGAAAATGTATGTATTATGTTCTTAAATGCTTTTAACTTTTAGAGTATGTAATTTTTCATAGATTCCGCCCTGAGATTTTTGACAAAATTTCTAATTTTATGGAATGATGAAGGTACTATTTATTCTCCTACTAGCACTCAATCTGAAGTGGAAGAGGAATCCAGCTATGTATATTCGGAATTTAAACATTTTCACATGTTAAGTATGCTGAAGATGATTTAAAGTAACCAGAATTTAAGTCCCTAAAACAAAGTGTTTTGTGAATAAGCAAGAATATCACAAATATTTTTCACACTTTTTATACAATTTTAAATCAGCATTATATTTCACCACACTCATCTGCCTAGCAATAGCCTCTGGTACGGCACCTGCCTGCTATCCCTTTTCTTTATTTTCTCTGTATTATTTGGACTCAAACAGAGAAGGAAATGATATTGATGCTTAAGACTGAATTCCCTAACAAGCTTGCTCCTGAGCATACCACAAAAATAAGATTGTCTTAAACTGCTCACAGAAAAAATCAAACATTTAGAAAGATTATTTTAGGTAAAATATATCTTAACTCAGTATTCCAAATCATTTCTAATTCCTGCTGACTCCTTAAGACGTTTAAAGAACTTCTTAAGATAAAGATTATCTTTACTGATTTACTTCTTTGATACAAAAAGAATTCCTAACTCTTCTAACAGTTACCTCACATTTAAAAATCTTTTATCTGAAATTACATATATTGAATTAATATTTTCACAAGTATCTTCTCCAGATGAATACACATCTATCGACAATAGTATGAAGTAAGCAATGTCCCCTAAAGACTCATTAAAAGCAGAAAAATAAACATGCCTTTTAACCAATTAAGTTAATTCAAAAACATACTCTTTGAACACCTTATTTCTCCTAAATGTATTTATTAAATTGTGTACTTATTTTTAAACATTACAGCAAAGGAAAGTTCTCTGGAGATGTGCTACAGAGCACATAGGAGGAAGCCCTCCAGTGGCCATGTCCAGAAAGGAAGACAAGTGGTGAGACGCAGGGAGAGCCCAGCTCCCCTGGAGGCGCACTTCCCAGCAAATCACCTGTTCGTTCCCTTCAGTGGGTCCATGTGTTATGCTTACTTGGACTGATTTATTTTTCCCTTAAAGTGTACCTTAAAGAGTGGAGAAATGTGTGCCCGCTTTAAGGATTCTTCCAAGCTGAAAGAGAAAAGTACTTCCGCTTCAGCATCTCGGAGAATGTAGTTCTGCTCATCTGGAAAACAGAACAGTACATACTCTGAAAGTGTGGACAGGTGAAGTGTGGCAGGTCTGACCCACAAAATTCTCACCCTTATTCAGTACATAATATTCACAGCTACATTTAACTGTACGGCCTTCGGATATTTAAATCTCACCATTTTATTTCATTTACTTCCCTGTAAAAGCCAGACCAAAAAAAGACAGGCAAGTGTTTTTTTCTCCTAGATCAGGAGTAATTAACCATTTGGGGTCATAAACTCAAAGAACGGGCAGGGTGTGGTGGCTCTTGCCTGAAATTCCAGCACTTTGGGAGGCCAAGGAAGAAAAACTGCTTCATGCCAGGAGTTCCAGAACAGCCTGGGCAACATAGTGAGACCTCATCTCTACAGAAAAATTTTAAAATTAGCTTGGCATCGTTGCATGTGCCTGTAGTCTCAGCTGCTCGGGGGGCTGAAGTGGGAGGACTGCTTGAGTCTGGGAAGTTCGAGGCTGCAGTGACCCGTCACTGCACCTCTGCATTTCAGCCTGGGCAACAAAGTGAGATCCGGTCTCAAAATAATAGTATTAATTTTTTTTAACAAGAAAAATGTTTAAAAAAAGTAAAAAAATTACTGAAGTTAGAAACCTTCTTCCCATAGCTGCCCTCCCCTCTTTACCCAACTGTAATCTCATACAAACTTTTAGGGAGCTCACAAACTTTCCAAGCCTGCAGATCTCAGGTTAAAACTTCCAGTCCTAGAAAGACAAGCTTTAAATAATCCCATCCAAGTATTTATTTATATACAATGACTAACTCTGCAAGGACTTATAGGACACTGGAGTTATTTGGCTGATAATTAGGTGAATTTACCAAACTTTAAAGATTCACCAAGCATACATTCATTTTAAGTATATAAAAGTATACAGCAATTTATAAAGGAAAGTTTTATCAATTTTTAAAGACTTCTGACAATTATTATTAACTGACAGATTTTCAGAGTTTTCATAGCAACATTTCAAGAAATGTGTCAAAAGTTAAAGATCATAAAATGTTTCAACCTTCCTACAAATACGTGTCATATTCAGAAAAGCATTTCTTCTCCTCCATTTCCTACCGACCATACAGCATAATAAAGGCAGCTCAAACCCAGTTATATATACATCAAAAAGAGAAAACAAGGAAAAGTGATTTGGGATTGGCAAACTGGGGTTGACAAGATGACACATATTTCAGGATTTGTGGGCTAGGTATTATTTCTCTTGCACATTCCTCTTCTCGTTTTTAAGCAATATTTTAAAAATGTGAAACCCGTTCTCAGCCCATGGACCACAGTTTGCTGACCCCTGGGCAGAAGCAACCACATTACGACAAAAATGCGGGCATCTGTTCACCAATGGCTAATCCCTGAGCCAACCAGCAGATAGAAAGGCTGCCTTTTAGGTGAAGGAAGATAAAAATGTCTAAAATTTGGAGAAACAAAAAATGAATTAAAAAACAAATAAAACAAGTACTGCCACACATGAGATGATATACTTGAAGTGTTACTTTCTAGGAGAAAAATGAAGGCTGATATGCCTTCTGAAGAACTTGTGTGAGATCACCAAGAAGGAGTTAATGTTTATGATAGAGAAAATATCACCAGGGGTGGCTCACGCCTGTAATCCCAGCACTTCGGGAGGCTGAGGTGGGCGGATCACTTGAGGTCAGGTGTCAAGACCAGCCTGGCCAACATGGTCAAACCCTGTCTCTACTAAAACATACAAAAAAATTAGCCAGGTGTGGTGGTGGTGAGCGCCTGTAGTCCCAGCTACTAGGGAGGTTGAGGGAGGAGAATGGCTTGAACCCAGGAGGCGGAGGTTGCAGTGAGTCAATGGCACCAGTCCACTCCAGCCTGGGCAACAAAGTGAGACTCAATCTTTTTTTTTATTTTTTATTTTTTTATTTTTTTTTTGAGACTCAATCTTAAAAAAAAAAAAAGGAAGTAACATTGAAAAATAAAAGACTATATAGTTAAGATGATCCTGTCACAGATGAAATATTGACATTATGGTTTTTTCAAACAAAGGAAGAGGGTTAACTTAGTAGCTATATAAAGACTCAACCTGAACATTAAATTTTGCATGGAAGTACAAAAGAAATGAGTATCACAGAAAGTGATAATAATATCGAGGTCTCACATTTTATATAAATTACACATAAATATAAAATTCCAAAAACACACACCTACCAAAACAGGTGGAGAACAGAGTCCTTCCAACAAATGATGCTGAACAACTGGACATCCATATAAAAAAAAAAAAAAAGGAATCTGGACATAGACCTTACCCTCTTAAAAAAAAAAAAAAAAAAAAAAAAAAATCAACCCCAAATCCCCAAATGGAACACAGACCTAAATGTGAGATGCAGAACTTTGAAACTCCTACAAGATAACACAGGAGGAAACCTGAGGGACCCCGGCTTCGGCAGTGACTTCTTAGACACAACACCAAAGACAAAATGCATGAAAGAAAGAATGAGTGAGCTGGACTTCACCTATCAGAATGGCCAAAACCCAGAGCAGCGCCAGCAGCTCATGCCGAGGAGGATGTGGAGCAACAGGGGCTCCCACTCGCGGCTGGTGGGAATGCAAAACAGCACAGGCACTTCAGAAGACGGCCTGGCGGTTCCTTACAAAGCTAAACTACACTGACCATGTGACCAAGCGACTGCACACCTTGGTGATTTACCAAAAGGAGTTGAAAAGTCGTGTCCACACTAAAACCTGCACATGGATGTTTACAGCAGCTTTACTGATAACTGCCAAAATTTACAAACAGCTAGAATGTCCTCGTGTAGGTAAGGGGCTAAACAAACTGATACATTCTGACAATGGAATATTATTTAGTGCTAAAAAGAAATGCGCTCTCAAGCCACGAAAAGACATGGAGGAAGCTTGGATGTATATTGCTATGCAAAGGTAGCAGATCTGAAAATCCCATATACTCAATGATTCCCAAAGTGTAACATTCTGGAAAGCGCAAGACTATACAAAGGATAAAAAGATCAGTGGCTGCCAGGGGTCAGAAGGCAGGAAGGGATGAGTGGGTGGAGCACAGAGGACTTTTAGAGCAGTGGATCAGCTCTGTGTGATGCTGTAATACCAAAAGCACATCCTTGTACGTCTGTTAAAACCCAAAGACTGGTCAAGGCCAGCAGCAGGCCCTACTCTAACTGTGGACTTTGGGTGATTACGACCCAAATGTCAATGTAGCTTCATTAATGGTCAATAAACATTCCACTATGGTGTGGAATGGTGACTGTAATGGGGATGGCAGTGTGTGTGCATGGGTGTGGGCTGGGGGTACATGGGAACTCTGTGCTTTCTGTAATTTTGCTGTGAACCTAAAACTGCCCCCCAAAATTGAAGAATCATTACACGGAAAGATTCTCTTAGGAAATCCTAAAATTTGGAAGACAAAATACAAAATGTTTTCTCAATATTGAATGTTTATAACTAAACCACTTCCTGACCCTCACAGAGCCACACAGCAAACATTTGTAAACAGTGCTACAAAGAAATCAAAGCCAGTCAACCAAACTCCCCAGCAAATCTGAACTGTAAACTTCATATGCAGATAAAGAACCGGATTTTCACCAACTGAAACTGGAAAAAGTAAGTAAACTGGTCATTCACTAAACTGGCTGCTTGGCAAACTAATATTCAAAGAATTTGCACGTTCTTGGTTAGAAGAGAAAAGAAATCAGCTGAGTCCAAAAGTAACAGTAAAGATCTCTAAAGCTGGGTGTTGCCCAAAAGCAGCCAATGGGGCCAAGAGAGGCTGGAACATGACAGACCGTTTTCCCCAGCGCCCAGGCTGGTGTATGCCACGCTCCGACTGCAGAGCCTGAGAAATTACAGTATTTCTATTAATGAACAGACCATATCCTAAATTTTATAACGTTAACATTATATGAAATCGGAAGCTAAAATGTTTGTAGTAATCGTTTCTATGATGTTTTTCTTCTGCCTTCATTAAGTTTTATGTTTCATTAATATTTTTTAGGTTTGAAAAAAATTTCAAAATTTCAATTAAAAAAATTTCTAAATACCACTTAATACATGTGAGCCTCATTATTCACAGATTCTGTATTTGCCAATTTTCCTCCCCTCTGAAATTTACTTATGAACCCACAATCAGTGCCTGTGCACTTCGGGGGTCATTCGTGGACATGCATGGACTGGAGAAGAATCAGTCACCTACATGCACGTTCCTAGCCAGGAGGAACAAGGCCATGCCCTGCCTTCCGGTTCCAGCAGAAATGGTGAAGAAGCATCCTCTTTGTGATCAATTAACTGTCACTGTTTTCAAATGTTTGTGCTTTATGTTGGTGATTTTGCTGTTTAAAAAGTCCCCAGTCCTAAGTGCAAGGAGGCTGTGATATGCCTTTTGGAGAAAATATGTATGTTAGGGAAGTTTCATGCAGGCATGAGTTACAGTGCTGTTGACCATGAACTGAATGTCCATGAATTAACAACATACACTAAATAAGGCGCCTTTAAACAGAAACACACATAAAACAAGGTTATGTATGACTGGCTGATGAAAATGTGGTGAGCAGAGGCTCTCAGGAACCTACCCCTGTGTTTACCCAGAGGCTACAGCACAGTATTCACTCAGTGTCTGTGCAACTTTATAGAGCATAACTAACTGCATGACAAGAATTGCCTGAATATTGTAGTTTAGGATTTAGTCTTTTCTTCACATTAATGATTTATTCTTTACCATGTCTTACTGCCTTAGATACAAAATCAAAAAATTTTAAGTTTGTTTCTAGCTTTGCTCTCAACAGCAATCTTAAGTTATCTTTATTTTTCTGGATCTCCTCATCTGTAAATTAGACCACATGAACTTTAAGACACATATACTTCTAATTTATTTACATAAATATCAATTATATTTAAATGCCAGTGGCCAAAAAAGTGACATGAATCTAAAATATTTTAATTTTAAAAGACGGATTTAACGACAACTTGTGCCCGTAAGGTGTAAACAAGGTTCGTTTAGCCAGAACAGTGTACCAGGGGCCAGCAGCTCCTCGGCAGGCCTTGCTGGCCACGGCCACACACCCTGCTCTTCCCTTTGCCGGCTGTATCTTTCTGCTTAAAGGGTGGGGTGCAAGGGAGGCCCAGGTGAGAAAGTGTGAGAACACGCCCATACAGGGCAAACTGCTGGCACAGAAAAATGAGCCTGTGGCTGCTCTAAATCAAGGGTTGGTGATCAGTATCATCGCTACATGGTGGAGTAGCCAGGGAGTTCAGTTTTAGTGCCAGTGTGGCTGGGCCAGAAAGACCACATGAGAAAAAAGACCGAGAATTCAGTGAAGCTTGTGATGGCGCATGTGCCTCTAAACCTTTCAACCCAGACAGGGCCTAGGGGAGCACGGAGGGCACAGCGGGGGCAGCTGACAGGTGCCTGGCTTCGACGATGCAGGACACCAGCCCCGCAGGCAGGGTGACGCCACCGCTGTGCAGGGCGGGAAGGGCACGCAGCTGCCTTGGCTATCCAGTTTCCATGAAGAAAAAAAAAATCATTTAGAATTTATAACTTATTTTATACCTAGCAAGATTCTAAAAACATTTAGGTGTGTATCAGTCTATCTATCCTTTATGTACTATCTCTAAATGTGACTGTTTGTTTTAAAAGAAATTCTCTTTTGGAGCTCTGAACAATGGAAGATGGGCAAGAGGACGCAGACCTCTCTCCGTCCTATATAAACCGATATTCAAAGTGTATTTGAGTAGGACATTGACATACACCTGCTCTCTTCCCAAATAAAGACAAAAATTATACTTTCCTGCACTTTGAAAAATCTCCTTTTACAGACAGATTTTCAAACAAAATATACTAAGAGGAAAAGAAAAAAAGGGATATAGAGCTGGTTTTTCCCCAATACTGTCCAAATTGCCAAAACCTTTATACTTAGGGTAGAATGCAAAGACATCAATCAAAGGAATCACTGGGGATATGAAATAAATTCATAAATTTAAATAAATTGATATCACATAGTTAAAAAATAAACTAGATATTCGTTGGGATGAAAAGAGATGAATTCAAGAGAAAAAGAAAAGTGTATTTGGCATTAAAAATAAGGTTACTAGGGCTGCTTCTTACCAATGAACTTCTGGCACCTGAAGCATTCCTCTAGCCACTCTGGTGTCACTATGTGCTTCACGACAGAAATCGCCATCAGGAACTTCACAGTGCGAGTCACTTTGCTGGCAATGAGGTGTGTGCACTTCTGTGCAGACTCTGCAACCTCTCCACCGAGAATGTAGAGCTTCTAAAGGTCACAAACACAGGTGCGAAATGAGGGAGTTCAGCATTCATAGAGCCACACTGACAGAGTAACACAGAGGAATACCTATCTGAAGGCAAGGGTTATGACCGTAATTCTCAGCCACAGAAAACAGTGTGACAGGTCAAACAAAGCCTACAACTCGAGGAGAAAAACAAAAGAGGAGAATGTATCACTTAACACTTCTGTAGTTCAAATCCACACAAATCAAGATAAAAATATGAATTCTCCATCAAACATCAATAGCATCTCCATGAATAAGTTAAATGACATGAAAATGATGCAGCTCACTTCACAACGAAGGGTAAACAGCCAAGACTTGCTAGGCCGGAACTGGTGTTAATGAAGAACATTTACCTGCTCTTCGGTTTTTGAAATATGGCATAAAAATTGACTAAGATATGAACGTATAAAAAAGCAACCTCCTAATAACTATCTCCACATTTTAAAGGTGGAGAAATTAATTTGTTCTAGATGTATAATAGTAGCATTGATAATTGCTTCTTTTCCTTAAAAAGGAAACTAGGAGGAAAATGTATGAATCCACCATAATACAGGTCAACTTACACTCTTAACCCAAACAAAACAAAATCCCATCATCCTCTGGGCTGTTATTTCAAAAAGCATATTTAAAATCCGTGCTCATTTATCATCTAAACAAATAAACAAACTCCCTTTGGCCTCACTCTACCCAAGAAAACGAATCGTGGGTAGACTGTGTTTCCATCAGAGAACTTGGAAAGACAGTTTTCCTCACGCTGGATGTCTTCATGAATAGGACACGGAAGGAGACTTGGAAATGTTCATGTGACTATTAGCATGGAACTTCGCCTATACTAATAAGAAAGCAAATATCTAAGTATGAAATAATAGCACAGAACAGGGCAGAAAGTCACTAAACATTTAATGACTAGGATTACTATGGTGACTACTAAAAATACTACATAAATATGCACTATAATAACAAGATATTCCTGACTATCTAAACTATGTAAGTTTAACTGCTGAAGTAAACATATACAAAAAGGAACACTGCTAAAAATCCTTTGACAAAGTAGATGAAATTTCACCTTAACATACTGTTGAACCTGGACAGGCTCGAACCCAGTGAAAAGCACAAGAGGGGTCAATTCTGGAGTTAGCTTTTTAGTGGGAGGTGGTATGTCTTCAATTCTGTGGAAGAAATACACATAAAACAGTGGTGATTTCATATTTATTTAAAATGCAAATTTTCTTTAGAAAACAGGGATTTCAATAGTTTAACAAGCTTTAACTGCACGTGGTTTTTACTCTTAAAGGAAACGTACAATGAGCTACCTGTCCTTCCTTTCTTCCCACCGCTTCCATAAAGTCACCTTCCAAGACTACCTCTGAAGCCCCCAAGGGACGTGTCCAATTCACTTTTAGTTAAGATCAATACTTTCTTCTTCATCAATCCCTGCTGGATTAATTTTTTTAATTGGCTTTAAGAAAGCAAATAACAAAGTTGCTTCTAAATGTCACTTATTGCTTAATCGCTTCATTTTTTTTCTATCAAGTTTTTAAAATAACCTTGTGTGACTCAGGCCACTCCTTGTCTGCCTGTTCACCATCCGTGTAAGTCAGCCAAGACGAGAGTCCCCAGAGCTTCCAGTGTCCTTTACGTGCTAGCCCTCTTCAACCACAAATTATAAAAACACTGCTTTGCTCAAGCACACGTTTTAAGTGAAACCTTTTTTGTTTTTTCCATAACCCTTAATTTTTTTTAGGTCTTTTCAGTTTATTATTATTTCCTGAGACAGTCCAAGAAAAATTTACTTTAAAATTTCTTTGTGGCAAGTTGATGACAGCCTCAAAAAATATAATCACATAATTAGGATTTTACTACTAAAGTCAACAGTTCAGTTTGTGTTCTGGAAGTGGGGAATGGAGGGAGGGAAAGATGAGGAGCAAGAAGAGAAAAGATGAGGAACCTGGTAACTGCAAACAAGTCAAGCAGTTATATTTCACCATGTACAGTTTGGAAAGAAGAGTTTTCTCGAATCAAGGAAGAAAACAGAAGCCCTGTTGGTTTGCTCCTGCGTTTGCTATGCCTTACTAACTGAATGACTGGCAGGACTTCATTCCTGCCGTGTTGGCCGACACAACACTAGAACGATAATGCATCTCAATCTGCATACTCCAGGCTAAACCCAACACGCCACAGGCACTGCACGTGTCCTTCCAAGGCTTTGGGTCCGGATCCTCCTTCCCACCATGGCCAACACTGCTTGGTCCTCACTGAGAACTGGCAGATCCAAGGAGCACACCTGAGATGATACCACGGCCTAGATGCTCTCTAGGCATCTGGAGCAGTTCTTCAGCGTGCCCCAGGAAGCCTGGGGCTCTACGGTGTACTGCTGAGCTGGGTTCTAGACCTCACACCCCATTCCCACCACTGCAGCTTCTGTTTTACATGGTGGAGAGGGGCTTCTCAAAGTATATCGCTTTAAAAAAGACTCAATTTTTTTAAAAAATAAAAAATATACTGGCCTATGTTATTATTCACCATTTGTCTCCAGCAATAAAATGAAATATATCACAATGAAGTTGAAAAGCAGAAAGCAAACTTTCAAATCCTATTTACTGAAAAGCGTTTTAGAAACTTTCCTCAATTGCCACTGATTTTCCAAAGCAGACCTGTGAAAGCCAACAATAAAAAATTTAAGGCTATTACTCTTACCTGGCTCTTTTGGAAGAAGGCTGGACATTAGCTACTTCATTCTGTTTCAGTTTGGGAGGTAGCCGTACACTCTGCAATTAAAATATTGTCTACTTTACTTTAATCAATCTACCAAGTAATACAGTAGCTTCCAAAAGGTTTATGTGTCAAATAATCAAACTACTTAATCATATAATATACAAGAATCATGCTCTTCTTCACATCAGAACTAGTCTTCAGCTCAAAAGACCACTCAGACAATGCAAGCCAGGAGAAGCTAATATTCCAGAGTGAACCTCTGTATTGTGTGTGCGTGGGTTTTTTTTGTTTGATTTTTGTTTTTTTTTTTTTTGCTTTTTGCTTTCCCTCTTTATTCGACAAATCCTTTCGGTGCTTTAAGTATCTTTGTTCCTTTCTTTCCTCCATGTTACATATATACATCCCTCAAGGTTGAACTTCTCAGAATGGTTTTCATTTCAAGTATTTTGTCCTGTGTCCCAATTTAGAATGTGAAAAACATGATCAAAATTACACCTCCAGCCTAAAAGACTATTCCTATAAGAGAAATTTCGCCAATGAGATTTCACAAAAGATGTTACATGACAATGAGATCAACATTGCTACCAACAGCCAGAGAAGGTGCCAAAACTCACATTCTGTCTCAGCAACATGGTGACCTCGACGAGGACCAGCTGCAGCCCTAACTCTGGAGCAAAAGCCATGCCAAGTGAAAAGAGAGCAGGAAGAAGATGGGATTTCCTTGTGGGGTCCCTACCACAGCCAGATCTCCATTCTCCCCTGCACCTTGTTCACTCCTATCTTATTTTAAACTCAGAGGTTCTTTTGACTTATGTGGGCCAACCATGTCTTTCCCAGATGTTTAATTATTTGAAGGAATTGCTCTCAATCTTATTAATTTAACAACTTATTTTTTCTAAATATTGCTGCCGTATCTAGAATAAATTTAAGCGTATCTACAGAAAGTATTCAAAATCTATTAGCCCTGTCATACATAGAGAATCAAGCTTCATAGTAATTTGCAGGAAAGTTTATACTTTTTCTTATTACAGCCCTTATAAGAAAACAATCTCTCAACTCTCTATTTCCAAAGACTGCAGTTAAGTCTCCAAATTATCATTCATTGGTACCAAGAACAGAAACAAATGGTGGGAAAGGCAAAAATGGTAAACTGGCCTGTCTCTAAGATTTTTAGCTTTTAATTACTAATACAAAGCCACAAGAGAAGTTGACATCCGGAGCCGCTGACAACTTCAGAATTTAAGCCATGTGGTTTGGGAGGAAAACTCTGATGACCACTTTCCCAGTGTGAGCTTAAAAGCCACCATAAAATTCCTTTCAGTTAAATGAACTGGGAGAATATTTGCTTTTGCTGATGTGTCAGAACTGGTCATGTCGTATTAAAGTCCTAACTACTAGTGTAAGCTAGTAGGAAAAAAATATATCTATGATCACATTATCATTAGCATGAAGAAAACAAGACTGTAGCTTGGAAGGGCTTTCTCAGAGACTTGCGATGATTATTAGCAACTTCCAGATGAGATCTGGCAAACGAGTAAGTCAGCAGATGAATAACCAGAAACACGAGCCTGGGTGTTAGCTGCTAATCCTTATGAGACTATTCTCCTCAGCTAATTGCTCAAGTGGCACCAACCCTAAATGACCACTGTATACAAAAGAAATGTGGTGAAAACTTGGTGGGTACATGACATATGGAAATCTGTTGTTCAAAACAAAGGTTAATATATAATGACATGAACATAAACCAAAGCCTGTAAATTACACTACTATTGGCCAGCAGTAAAAAACTGCTATTCTCAAAGTGCTGATGTTCAGTCAAACAGTGAGAAATCACAGTAGACAAAGTCCAAAGTGAAAAATTATTAAAGTGGTCCCGTCTGTAGCTTAGCAAATATGAATGTGGGGCAAAGAGAAAACACAACTGATCTTCTACTCATTGTACGGGACCGATGAGAAGGCAGAAACCACCTCCTTGTCTTGTAACTGACGACCAATGGCCTTCAAATTTCAAGAATGGCCTACCCTGAAAAGCAGAGACCTCAAGCACTGTGACGTGACTCCCAACTCGAGACACTATGAAAATATTTCCCCTCATCACGAGACCCAGGACTCCTTAAGTTCTGATCTGTAGCCCCAAGTAGGTTACATATCCATTGCTTCTTGCCTTTCGTTAACCCTACGAAAAACAAGACGTCATCTTTGATTTTACTGTTCTCTATAAGCAATCACACAGCTCTCTGAAGCAAATAAGCCCCTCACATGTATATATATGAAAACGACAATCATATCCTAACGATTAAGAGAAAAATCAGTCCTAGGGTTTACTGAACAAGTGAGTAGATACAACCTTCATTTGTTATCATGTTGACAGATTACTAAAATAATTTGTAATTTATGAAGACAAATACGTCCCTACTGCATTTTAATATAGTAATAGCCAAAGGAAGGTTATTAATTTGACATACCATCAACAACTCTGCAGTCACTTTTAAGGGAACTCTCCAAGCATCTAAAGAGAGAAATACATTATTTTTTTATGGTAGATATTCTGTTTAAATAAAAAAATCCTTTTTGTAAAAGTCTTCCCTGACAGGAGGCTTAGCTGACAACACTTAATAAGGATAAATGTAAGTATTCTAATGAAGTTTTAAAAAAAGCTTTCCAGGCAAGGTGAGGGCATGCTGCTGCTCTAGTTTTATATGCTGTCTGCATGAAGCAGCACTAAGACCAGCGGCAGCAAACAAAGCAAATGTTGTGTCAAAACCCATGGCATTCACCCCCTACTGTGGGTTGTCTGGGTAGATATTTCTAGGCCTGTGTCCAAGTCTGGGTTTCACATAGTCTGGCCTCTAGCAGGCACAAACCTTCCTGCCTATCACAGGAGCCATGATGACATCCAGGACGTAACAGCAAGTCAGTCAAAGGTCAACAGTGACAGAGGACAGACGTCAATTCTAGCAAAGTGGGGAATGTTCTGGAGGGTAGGGATCAATTTGGACAAAAGATTAACTGGCCTGAGAGACAAGACTATCAAAAAGCTTTCAAGTGCTCCTTCCATCTCTACGAGGTGATCAAAAGCAAACAAAAACATCAAATCATGGCACACGCCTGAAGTCCCAGCTACTTGGGAGGATGAGGTGGAAGAATCACCCAAGCCCAGGCAGTCAAGGCTGCACTGAGCCATGATCACACCACTGCACTCCAGCCTGGGTGACAGAGTGAGACTCTGTCTCAAAAAACAACAAACAAAAATCCTTAGCAGAGTGGGGAGAAGAAAGGAAGAATATAGAATGGAAGTTGAAAATGAGTCAAAAACTGACTAGAAAGCTCAAGCCAAGCCTGGTGACTAGTATGAATAAAAAGATGATAGAAGCAATGTTAGTACTTTTAAGTAAGATTTGCAGCATGTAGAATTTAACTTACCTAAAAGATTGAAAACTAAATGCTGGGTCGGGGCAAAGGGATCCTGCAGATTGAACGCCGTGTAGCGACTATACTGAATCTGCCTCAGAGCCTCAAAGTTTCCCAGAAGGATGTCGCCAAGCCACTGGGCGTTGACACAGGGTATCCTCCACTCTTTGGCTTTTTCATACTTTAAACCAGTTGGTCTTTTTATTTTTTGAGGAGAAAACACATTTATTAAATGTTAGAGATGTCAACAGTCCAAATTTATATTTATTTCCAACAAAGGCAGTAAGATATTTTTCTCCTAATGTAAGTGGAAGGCATAGCCTAGCAAACTGAGGGTGACCCTGCATGGCAATCAAATGTCCACTTCAAGGCTCAAGCAGAATTACAAAACCACCTCCGAGTCTTACTTTTACCCTATTCCTATTTTGTTAATTCAAATTTCATTAATTCAAATGTTTTCTAGGTATTTCTATTAACATTATTATGAATATCATTGTCATACTTTAACAGTTTAATTTCCACAAATTTCTACCACAAACCTATGACATACTAAAAAATGCACAATTGACTATATTGTGTATAAATTTAAGATTAAAAACAGTTTCAAAAATTTGCTTACTCTTTACAGATGAGGACTGTGTTGCTGCGGCACAGATAACCCGTGTATTTGGCACCTGCCAAATAAGCCATTAATTTTAGGTCATCTCTGTCACTATCAACAAATCCCGTCACAGAAATAATCTAAGGAAAAAAAAGAGAGAAAATAAGGTAAAAACAAAACAAACAAAAAACCAAAACCAAGTACTATTTCTTCTACTTCTTAGTTGACATATATTTTTTCACTATTTCTTGGGCATTATGGAACACATTTGGTAACGTCATTCCTAAAACTGTCAAGACCAGAATTTTATTAAAATACTAAAAAGGTAATACACATAGCCCTCACAGGGAAGAAGAAAAAGAATGAATGTGAGACGCCTTGTTTATGTCACTGCATCATTGCTCAGATGATCCCAACGGTTATGTTATAAAGTGTGTAACCACGAGCCAGCTGAGCCAGGTCCTCCTCCTTCGCTGATTCCAACGCGGGGCTCATTTGAGTGGAAGGACCCACGACCACTGATCAGTTCCACCCAACAGGGGCTGCCTTTGGTGCAAGACCCCTGATTTATTTTTGGATTTTAAATAGGGTCAAATACTGAAGAATCCATTTAAATACCTACTATGTACAGAAAGCTGTGATTGTTACAAGGAACTAAAAGAAAGCAAGCTATTTCTTCTGAGCAGGCACTTATAGAATGGGCAAAAGTACAGAGAAGCTCTGACTCGGAAGCCACTGTGGGAGCCTCAGGTAAGTGCTAGCACATGGTTATCTGCCAAGGTAGAAGAATGATGTAAACACGGAACACGAGGACTCTGTCTCACATGCTGTGAACACGGCTTTCCTCCTGGTGGGAAGGCCACTGGGAAGTGCAGGGCTCGGTGAGGCGGCACCATTTTCTTCTTCTTTAAGACCGTGTTCAACCAGTGCGCAGTAACACATCTCTTTCTTTCTCTTATTGCCTATCAAACAAAAAATTAGAGATTTGTTGTTTTTTGTTTTTCTGCCGCAGGATTAAGGAAAATTGTAAGGCTGTATAGGTACAATGCCGTTTTCACTGGCAGCCCCATAAGAGAATTTCATGACATTTAGCGCTTGATTAAAGTAACAAATTAAAGCCGTGTGGCTGGTTACTTCAAATATAACCTAAAAATGTTACTATCCATCTGCAAACAAGAGTCTACAACTGAGGACAAAAGCAACAAATTCTACAACAACTATAAGAATACCTTTAGTGATGAATGAACTAATACGTATGATCACCAAAGTTAAAAGTGCCGCATAAGAACACAGAGGGCTCCACGTAAGCAAAGTATCAAAAACCCATCTGCCTAAAACGAACCACGGGAAAAGAAAAAATGCCTCAGAAGTATTTCCACATTTTTACTCGAGAAGTAGGCCCTGTGAATGGCTATCCTCTTTAAGACGGTGATCTTGGAGGTCATCTGTCACGTATACATAAACTGTCTACAGGAAGCACAATTTTATGAAACAAAATGAAACTTCAGAGAGCAAAAGAAGGTAATACTGAGGAGAAAGCCTGCATCCCAGGAGTTTTAGAAAAGCTCTGTAAGGGGCCTGGCCTCTGCACGCTTGTGTGGGAGTCACACGCCAGTGCACACAGTGTGGCTGGGATGGTGACTGCAGGGAGTGTCCGTCCTTCTTACCACCACCTGGGAATATCCCTTTCTTTCTCCATTGCTCAAAGACAATGGTGCCCACAAAAGTTATTAATCCCACCAAAGAATCCATCCCAGGAAGAAGCAACTTTCCTATCTTTCGAGGCAGAAAAGTCCTTTCCAAAAATAACAATCAATCACTAGCATTTACTGCATGTAAAAAATGACAGATGTTGTTCCTGGTGGCAGTTAGGGTTGTCTTCCTTACCTGTGCAAACACACTGCTGACTTGACTCTCACAGAGAAGGTGCGTGCATCGACTTGTGAACGTGGGGTCAACAGTGCCACCGTGTGCCTGGATTATCTAGACACAAAGACCCGACCAATGCGGTCACAGTGTTAATCACTCAGAATAGAGGAGACTTCCAATTTCCAATAAGATAGCTGTCAAAAGACTCTATCATATATTTATATCATGTATTTCCCCAAAGTATGAAGGACATGTAACAGTTATATTTACAGACTTTTCTACCCAGCACCATACAATGAAAATGAACTCCAATACTATAAATTTAATCTGAATTTCCAGGAAACAAGAGAACACTGGAATGAATGCATCCTGGGGTTTCTCAAGCTCAGCATAACTGCCCCGCTGAACCAGGGGGTTCTGGGATGTGGTGGCTATCCTGAACAGAAGAGGATGCTACCCATCCCATGCCAGCAGCAGCCCCTAGCCATGACTACTCAAGATCGTCAGATACTGCAAAAGGTCTATGGTGGGCAGATCAACCTCCCTTAAAAAGGGAAATAAAAAGCAAATCAGAATGAAATTCATAAATCCCAACCGTTTCTTCTCAAAACAGATGTGGTTTTCTGGGGGAAGGAACTGCTGTGGGCATTCGTCAGAACTCAAAATACTGTACACGGAAAAAGGAGTTTGATGGCCTATTAGGTGAAATATAAACTTTAAGAAGACCTGCCCCCGGCCAGGCGTGATGGCTCACACCTGTTATCCCAGCACTCTGGGAGGCCAAGGAGGGTAGATCATGAGGTCAGGAGTTTGAGACCAGCCTGGCAACACAGTAAAACCCCATCTCTACTAAAAATACAAAAATTAGCCAGGCATGGTGGTGCGTGCCTGCAGTCCCAGCTACTTGGGAGTCTGAAGCACGAGAATTGCCTGAACCCAGGAGGTGGAGGATGTGGTGGCTGAGATCGCAACACTCCACTCAAGCCTGGGCACGAGAGCGAGACTTGGTCTCAAAAAAAAACATCTGTCTCCTCAAAAAAACAATTGTTTCATTTACTACTTTTAAGATGTAAATGTTTATTTTTCCTATGGCCAAACATCAACATAGTTTAATGAGGTCCAGAACAAAACTGCAGCCTCCTTGCCCATCCCTGCTTTTCATTCCCCTGAAACAAGCACATTTAGCACTTTAAAGCTGTTTCCTCTGACAATTATTTTTTCATATATCTACTTTATTGCACTTTAGGTTCTGGGGCACATGTATAGAACATGCAGGATTGCTGCACAGGTACACACATGGCAATGTGGTTTGCTGCCTCCAGCCCCTATCACCTGTATCTGGCATTTCTCCCCATGTTATCCCAACACCGGAAAGAGGATCGAGGGAGCCCCCACCGTCTGTGGGGACCCCGAGTGTTATCACTTCTACAAAGAGCTGCAGGAGGCTGGCGGGGTGCCCACCCAGCAGGCACAGTAGACCGCAGCCAGCCGGTGCCTGGTGTCTGCCTCCCGCCAACCCTTCTCCAAACACCGGCAGAAAATGGAGAGTGCTTAGGTGGTGGGTGCTGGAGGTACAGGTTTGGGAAGGGGGGAAAGACATTTTTATTTTTGTTCTGCCATGCACATTTATACTTGGAAAGAGACCAGCACTGAGGTTGGCACCTCCCCGCCTCTCTCTTCCTAGCCACAGATGCTACGCCTGCCCCGCCCAATTTTGCTTCCCCCTGGGGAGGAAGGGAGTCATGGTGGGGGAGCTAGAGTACAGGTTTGGGAAGGGGAGAGAGACATTTTTATTTTTTTAACCCCTGTGTCTCTTTTGCTTATGATTAAAGGAAGAAAAAGTAAAAAAAGAAAAACAAAAACAAAACAAAGGCAATTTTTAATATATTCTAACACATTATATGATTTCCTTTTCTCTAGTTTTACATAACCGTCTACTGGCCTCCTACTGTGGACACCCTTCCCCCAAATAACACACACACTCCTCAAGTCTCCTGATTTGGTTACATCAAGATCAGTGTCAGTGACGTAACACAATGTATCCTAAGATTAGAGTTCCTTTCTGGTATACACTTTGGTTTTCCCTGGTGCTTATCACTGCCTCATCCCAGTCCCCCCAGAATCTGTCTTTTTCTTAGTTTTCTACATGCCTTTCACTATTTCATTCCCACTATCTGAACAATGTACATGTGGTGGTTTTACAGTATGTCTGCAAATTATTGTATAATCCTCCCTCTAAGAGTTGGAGCTTTACTCACTTAGCTTTGAGTACGGACTAGACTTAGTCACTTAATACGGTGGAACTGACAGTGGGAGGCTCCCGGAACTCAGTCACGAGACACTGTAATGCTGTGGCTTTGCCCTCTCTCTATCTTAGGTCACGCCCTCTGGGGAAGGGAGCCAGCCGTCATGCTGTGAAGACATACAAACAGCCCTCACTTGTGATGAGGAGCTGAGGCCTCCAGCCCACAGCCACGTGAGGGAACCATCCTGGAAGGGGCTCCCGCAGCTCCCTCTGGCATCCTGACTGCAACCTCAGGAGACGGCTGAGTCACAAGCGCCCTATCAAGCTACTACGGGATTTCTGACCCATGACCAAACTGAGAGGTAGTTTATTGTTTTAAGCCACTAGGTTTTGAGATAATCTGTTACACAGTAACAGAAAATGAATGTACTATCACTGATCCTTGAGCAACACGGGTGCGAACTGCATGGGTCCACTGATGGCTAGATTTTCTTACACCTCTGCCACCCCTGAGGAGGTAAGACCAGCCGCTCCTGTCCCTCCTCCTAGGCCCCCTCATCACGAAGATGACACGGATGAAGACCTCTGTGATGACATACCTCCCCTTAATGAACAGTGCATATATTTTCTCTTAGGATTTTTAAAGTAACATTTTCTTTTCTTTAGCTTACTTTATTGTAAAAATACAGTACTGCATATATAAAACATGCGTTAATTGACTATCTCTAAGGCTTCTGATTAACACTAGGCTATTATTAATTCAGGTTTTGGGGAGTAAGTGATGCACAGATCTCCGATTACGTGGGGGTCAGCACCCCTAGGCCCCAGACTATTCAGGGGTCAACCGTACCCGTCCCTCCTGAATCTGCCATGTCTTTGTTTGCTCCTCCAGGAAGCCTCTCTTCTGGTCCCCAGTCTAGTTTTCTCCGCACCTGCTTTCTCACCATCTGGCATTTCCCCTCACCTCTATCCTGGCAATTCTCTTTCTATCTCGAAGTCAAATCCCTCATTTCTTGGCTACCACATCTTACTCTCTACTGGCACTTAGTGGCTTCCTAAGGAAGAATACAAGGGAGGTACATTTTTGACCATTAGTATACGAATATCCGTATTCCATTTCTTGTGACTAACAGGCTCTATAGATTACTTTAGGTTGGAAATTATTTCCCCTCAAAAACAAAAGGAGCTGCTCTGTGGCTGGCCCCTGTGCACTGCATCGGAGGCTCCTGAAATCACCCTGACTCCTGATCTGTCCAAGTTTCCCTTCCAGGGAACTTGTTGTTTGTCTGACAGAAAAGTGTTCTCTCTAGCCTTGTGAACGTTCACTGATGCCTTACCACTGCTCTCCTTCCACTTCTTTTCAATCTGGGGGCACACGGCCTTCAGTTGCAAAGCTATGTTCTTTCATAACGTTCTTGTCTTCATTTTCTCTGTTCCCATGCTCCTATTTAATGTCAGACCTCTTAGATAAATCCCTTAACTTGAAAACAAGACAAAAAACCCAAACTTTTCTCCACGAACTTTCATATCTTTGAGTTTCGTTGTACTTCTCAGGACAGTCTCTCAATGCTACCTTCGAATACTTCCGACTTTTAAAAAATGTCTGCTGCTGCCCTTCTCAGAACTGCCCCTTCCTCCCTCACCCCGGCACACGTCCTCTGCCTCTCTCCCCAGCCAACTACACAGTCATCTGCCTGGTCGCTCTCAGATTCAACACTTTACTACTTAAAACACACAGCCGATCACTTCGCCTGCATCTAAATTCCACCACATGGAACATCAACAAGTTCTTGGAAGACACGGAAGACGGGCCAGCCCTGGTTCCTGTACCCGCTCCTGCCTCGTGGATCCCACTGAGGCACCATCCTTTGCACCCTCCTGTCAGTTTCCCCAATCACGGGCCTTTGCCCGCGATGCACCATTGGGAAAATCCTCCCCACCTAATTCTTCCTCCTAGTCACCCCATAAGCAGTTCAGGAACCACCTCTCCCAGTAGATTTTTCTTAACACATCACCCCACAACACGATGGGTGACGGTCCTTCTCAGGCTCTCACAACAGCCTGCGCCGGCCAACCTGCCTCTCCCATGGCTCTTTGGGTTTCTTCGTCTCTGCGATTTCACATACCTTCCCTGGGTCTTGCAGCGAGTTTGGCATATAGCAGGGATTTAAGCACTAGGGAGGTTTATGGTGAAGCACATTCAAGATGTATTAGAGGCATATTTAAACTCAGTTTTTATTTAAAAAAAAATTTTTTTTGACTCTGTTTTGTTTTGTGGAATGCAAGAAAGAGAAAGCATTTCTTTTCTTTAAAGGCCACCATGCAAGATAATAAATAGATAAATGAACTACAGTTTCACAACTGGGCTAAAAGACTTTGATGTTCTAGAGATTCCAGGATTTCCTAACAGTTAGTTACCTTTGGAGAAAGAGAAATCACTGAGATGCATACAAATTAATGGTCCTCCTCCTAGGACACCAAAAATCTGAACTTATTTCCATCGTTCCAATTATACACAAATATTTAGTGCCCCTTGGAATTTCCAAGCTGAAAAAAAAAGTCCACTGTCTTCATCTAAGAGCTGAGAAAACTGATGCCCAGAAAAGCACTGTGCCTGAGGTCAGAGAATGTTAATCAAAATGCCCGTCACACATTAGAACACATGTAGGCGCAGCTCAGCGAATGCAGTCTAGTGAACATAGTTACGTCTACGTGAGAGAGCAGCATCTTCAGACAAAAAGTCATCCTTCCCCCAGGCACAATCTTACCCTTTTCCATGTGGCCAGCAGTTGCTTATCAGACATCTGCTCTGGATAATCCGCAATTGCAAACACACATCCCAATAAGAAGGCTTCTTCTGGAACTAGAATAAAAATATGTTAAGAAAAAGAAAATTAAACCTGATAAATATGCTTGCACACGTTAAAAAGTGGTACCTTACGATGTGAATCTGTTATGCTAATCAGTCTTGACCATGCAAATGCCAGTAATCAGAGTGCATGGGGAATACTGCTACAATTATACTAGTTAACTGTCTGCATCAAACAAACATTAAAAACTAAAATCAAAATAAATTATGCCTGGCCATTAAATACCCGAATGAGTCCCTGTGGCAACCTAGATGTTCTGCGGGACACCAACATTCACTTCAGCATATGATGTCCCAAGTACAAAAGAAAGCATGATTATCCTATGATAACTATATTCTTTGTCAGGTATGAGGCTCACATTCTCCATCTTGTAATAATTGTTTTGATATGAATCCTTACCCAACACTCAAACACTCTCAAAGCATTTACGTGGGTACAAGACTTTTAGGAGAGAGGAAAAAAATCTCCATTACTAACTCTCCACTGCTGGATCATGTCCAAAAAGCTGATGATGCTGAGGTGGTGGTGGCGGTGGTGGCGGCTGCTGCTGCTGCTGCTGCTGCTGCTGCTGCGAGAGCTGCTGAGATGGAACCTGATGCTGCAGTGCCTGTGACGTCTGACTCAAGTGTGGCGCTGTCTGACTTTGCATCTGCTGCTGCTGCTGCTGGTGCATGCGCTGGAGCTGCTGCTGCTGAATCTGCTGTTGCTGCTGGAGCAGGCTGTGCTGCTGCTGGAGCTGGGCGAGCTGCTGCTGCTGGAGCTGGTGCTGCTGCAGCTGATGGAACTGCTGCTGCAGGGCATGCTGCTGCTGAAAGGACTGGAGCTGCTGCTGAGGGCGATGCAACTGCTGTGGAGGATGCAACTGTTGCTGTGGAAACTGTAGCTGTTGCTGGGAAAACTGATGCTGATGGGCTTGCTGCTGCTGCTGCTGCTGCTGCGAAAATGGATGTGATGGCTGCTGGGGGTATGGTTGCTGCGAATGCTGCTGCTGCTGCTGCTGCTGCTGCTGCTGCTGGAGCTGCATTATCTGCTGGGGCTGAAGGTGTAAAACCGGGTGCTGTGGCTGCTGCTGCTGCTGGGCCTGGTGCTGCTGCTGTAACATGTGGGTCTCTGGGGTCACTTTCACTTGGCTGAACAGCACTGCATTGGCATTCGTATGGCCCTGCTGGCTGTGATTCACCTGCTGTTCTAAATTTTTTGTAGGTGCTGAAAGAGTCTGTAAGATCTACAAAACAAAAGTTAGGTCAAACATGATCAATAGTTCCTGAAATGGATGAATGACAGTTTCTTAGTCAAGAGAATAATAGCATATCCTACATATTTATTCATAATATTCAATCAAGCAGACACAGCAAATGATTGGAAACTTCAAAAATGATACCGCATTTGCTTTTATATTTATTTTGTAACACCAATATCACAAAGTAAATTCATACATTGAGACCACCAAACTATGAAACTACATCAGTAAAACGGAATAAGCTAACAAATTAAAGTGGCAAGGATAAGAGTTTGCCAGGGCAGGGCGTGTGAGCCTAAGCACTCCCTGGGCCGTGCGGCCACACCTCTCCACCGCCCAGTGGTCTCCCGTCAGCTCTGCAGGCCTTCCTGGCCTAGGAATGCACTGGGGAGTGACAGGTGGTGAAGGCATTTGGTCATCAGGCTCAGCCTCGCCTCAAACCTTCTCGCCACAGCTGCCACTTCCCATTTCCTCCTGTCCTATGGCCCAGAGTCTAGTAAAGAAAGGTTCTCAGTCAATCACCTTCCGGAGGAAAGCGGCCATGACCCAAGCTGTGACTCCAAGAGCCCTTCGCTCCACTGTCAACTTGCTCTGTGCACTGGCACACTACAGAAAAGAAGGCCAGCTCAGATACCACCAGCGCTGTTTAAATGGTGACATTCCCCCAACTAAGAACTCATCATTAGAGCTGGGAAATGACGCTTCCTCAAAAATGACCGAGTTCTTCATGTGGGACAAAAACATTTCAAGCTAGAAAAAAATAATTCAACGGTCAAGCCAGACTATTTCTCTTCTATTTCTTTCTGCTTTACAATGACAGGGAATAAGCTGACAGTTCTGCATATGCTGAGGAGTAGGAGAAGGATGGTGACCAGCTGATACCCACCAAGCAAGGGAAGTTACTTTTTTAATATCCTATAGGGCACTGAATAAAACAAAAGATACATGTTACACAATGAATTCTGTTCAACATGCTGAAGTAACAAAAATTTGAAACCAACTTCTGACAGTCATGGAAATCAGTAAAAACAAATTTTACTAAACTCAACCCATACAACTTTTAACCCTATTAAAAGCGTTTAAAATTTAAATAAAATTCTAGGAATTCAATTTTAACACATATCAGAACTATACCAAAATCTCAAACATTCTAACATATATGTTTCACTTACACAGATGCCAAAATGCAAAGGTTATATGACCCACAAGGGTAAAAGATTTTGGATTTAGTGATAAATAATTGAGTTTAGAAACAAAATAAGTCAAAATCAAGAGCTTGGGCACACCCATCTTTAAAACTGCCTTACGTATGAGATATCTCTATTAAGGAGAGTCAAGACTTCAGAGACATCTGAGTGGAACTCTAAACAGAAAAATCTCTTTCAAACAAAATAATAAGATAACTGTTTCATCTCTGTATTTAAAAGTATTTTTAAAAATCCAAAAAAGAAGAGGGGAAAATCCACCCCATCATATGCCACCCGCGGAGCCCAGCAGCATCTGGTACTGTGTGAACCTCCTAGGGAAGCATGGGTGTGCAGGGCACCTGCCTGCTTAGCGGGCACCAGCCATGAGCCCTACCACGACAAACTGCTGTGAACAGTGGCTGCCTCCTGAGAAGGTGAACGGCAATGAGGGATAGGAGGTGGCTGGGAGTTTAACTTTTCACTGTCCTTCGGTATAATTTAAATTTTTAAATTTTGTACACGTATTACTTTTTCACCCTCACATGTCAATAGCCCGTGGAACTCTGAGGGACAGTAAGGAAATAAACGCCCATCTGCACGTGGACAGGGCTGAAGCAGTCATTTGCCACATGCTGCTCCCTGCCTCTCTGCACCTTCCAACCCCAGGTGGAAGGGAGCTCGGGAAGGGGCAAAGGCCTAGACAAACACAGCAGCAGACGCCAGGGCAGGCCGGAGGCCGGAGGCCCCGACTTTTCAGATTGGCCAAGAGGACTCAGCAGGGTCTGCCGCCTGCAGAAGGTGCTCCATCTGATCTCAGAGGGCTGAGGGAGGCCTGGGAAGTACAAGAGGCAATGTACAGCTATTTCTACTACAGGCTTCGGTTAAGATAGGTCCTCGCCCACTGCTGACCCAGCCTGCTAAGGGAGAACAAATGGAGATTCAAGACGACACTGCCAGCTAGGAATGAAGACGGCCATTGGCCTGCAGCCTTCTCCACCTGATGTGGCGAGAGGTGTAGGCTGGAGAGGAGGCATCTGCAAGGCCAGCCATTGAGATGCTGCCCCACATCCCTACCACATTCAAGTGATCACTTTTTCAACCATCTGATCTGCTTCTGGCTGAATACATGTTAGCCCTAGAGAACATACGAAAAAGAAACTATATTGCTCAATTACACAATTGCGCTATACTACAAACAATTCTCAATAAATGTCCAGTTTAAATTTTTCCATTACAACTGTCACAATTCTCTTTTACATTACATGAATACTGAGTTACTGAATGCCACAATATAGAAAGCATCATGCCACACACCGCACGGCTTCCAACCAGTATAAATTTGCAATATAAAGAGGACTCTGATGGTAAGTTACAGCCCACCTCCCACAATCTGATGTTCAACTAAATCTGTCTCATATTTCTAAAGTTTCAAAAAGTCATTTTCTTCATGTCCAGCAGCAAAATGTCCTTATGTTCTCTTGCATTGCTCAGTCTCTCAGAAAAATCTCTGCAATTCTCACTAGTGATCAAATCCATTCACTCACTAGAAACGAATGGAGGTTTCTCAGTTTTCCACCTCCAGAGCACACAGCTGTGTATACCGAATTTGTCTCCAATACAGAGATGTGCCCAAACTCCCTACTGCAGTCAATTATTTCCATTGCAAAGTAAATTATTTTGTCTCTATATCCAAATACAAACGTAAGGAACTTTGTATTTAAACCAACATCCATTTTATCTGAAAAACGAAGTAAGGCCAGGCACAGTGGCTCACACCTGTAATCCCAGCACTTTGGGAGGCCGAGGCAGGTGATCACCGGAGGTCAAGAGATCGAGACCAGCCTGGCCAACATGTCAAAAGCCCATCTCTAATAAAAATACACACAAATTAGCTGGGTGTGGTGATGGGCACCTGAATCACAGATACTCAGGAGGCTGCAGCAGGAGAAACACCTAAGCCCGGGAGGTGGAGGTTGCAGCAAGCAGAGATTATGTCACTGCACTCCAGCCTGGGTGACAGAGTGAGACTCTTCTGTCAAAAAAAACAACCAAAACATATATATCAGAAATAGGTAGTAATTAACCAGCAGCAACTGATCAACACTTTTGACACCACAAATAAATGAAGAGCAAAGAACATTTCCTATTTCAAATGGATGACTTCTGCCCATAATTTCTCATCTAAAGAAACAAAGTAATATTTCTCGAAGTGCCAGAGGCTTCATCCACGGTTTCGCACACCAGCCCTATGAGAGAGATTTTTTATGGTCTATGTCCTGCATATCCCACTGCTGACAGCACAGGTCTACGGCGTGATCCCAGTCTTCCTGCCAGGACTGGTCAATTCCTCCAACTCAGCAGTATCATCACTCTTCACATGTGTGAGGTCAAAATTACTAGAATCCTCTTTGTCTCTAGCCTGTCATTCTTTATGGCCTTTACTTTCTACCTGTCATGATGCCCTCTGGCTTTCCAGGACCACTGTGGGACTGTCACTTCGCTGCTCTGTGGCTGAGACTGTACCCTGTGGCTTCATGCCACCCACCTTCCTGGACAGGGATGCATGGGGACCACGGCTGGCACTCTCAGCACTGGGTGATGCTGGAGCTGCTCCTTCTGTGCATCCAGCTTCTCCCTAAACTCAGCTGACCTCCACCTTCACATGGGCACCCATCTGGACAAACCCTGGCCTTCAGCTCTTGGACCTCCTCATTTTGGCCTTCTCCCCACTTCCTCAGCCACACATTCCCAACTACTCCCGAGACCCATGGTCAGTCGCAGGCTTGTTTACCTCCAGGACCCAACAAGGCAGCATGGAGCTGTGGGCACCGAAGCACATCCAGGAGCGCCTCTGTATCGGGCAGCTGCTGCTCAGCGGCAAGGCACTGCTGCCACCCAGGACTTGAGGACGGCCAGCTCGGCATTTTATCAGGTCATTCACCTCTTAAACCAGAAATCCAATGTGTACAAAGAATCTTGCGATTTGGGCAAATACATTTTTAAAAATTATTTGGGCCAAACTAAAATGTGTCTGGGTAGAACGTGGCCTGTCAGTTACTGGATTGTGTCTTTCATCACCTAAAACTATTGTGACTCCGAAATGGCTCATTCAAATACACCAAGCTCCAACCAAACTCTGTCCTGCCAGGCTGCCAGTGACTAACCGTCGGGACTGTCCTGTCTTCACTGCCCTTCAATCCCCCTTGCCTTCTCTCTAGGCTAGATTCCATTTTACTCCTTCTTGTTAATATCCTAAGCTATGGTCACCAACGTAAACTGAGTCTTAACCATGTCCAGCAATACTGTCTTCCCTTTCTAGGAATCAACTACTTGCAAATCTATTCTCCTCAAACCCGATGACCTTCTCTCTCTTCTCACCTTGCCCCCCACCATCTTAACTGTCTACTGCCTACCATCTGAAGGGCATGTTTGCCTCTGTCTTACTCTGGATGCCAGCCAACTGCTGCAATCATCCCAAGAACTGTGTACTACTAACACCCACTGTTTAGGTGGAAGGGAGATGAGACAAAGATTCGGCAACTCTAAACACTTTTTTTACACCACTGCTATTATCACGCCCAGTAAAATGTTGATTCTCAACATCACCTTCTACCCAGGCCATACTGAATTTCCCCACTTGAGAAACATCAAGCCTTTCCACTGAAAGTGGATGTGGAGAATACTGGATCCTGCTTCAGGCTGTTCCTATGTGCTAGAGAGCCATTTTTCTGAGACGTTGAGATGTTATTCAGAAAACAAAACTATGAAATGAAAGTGTCCAGAACAAGGTGAAATGGCAGACCGGGCGTCACCATCAGATGGAACAGCCCACGTGGCTCTCGACGGTGGGCTCCTCAGAGCTGGCCCCAGACCCTCCTCTTGCTCTGCCCTGCCTGCTACACGACCTCACATCTGCCTCCACAGCATCACTCAGCCTTGCTTCCTCTGGTTCCACCACTTAGCAGACAGCTCCCCTGCATGTATCAGATACCTCCAACCCAACACGTCTGAAAAGAAACTTACATTCTTAAAACCTGCCGCTTTCCCAGTGTACCTTATCTCTGAAATGGCATCACCTTCTTTCAAATTCTCAAACCAGAAAGCTGGATTCTCCCCTTCATTTTTTTCCTCTCTCAAACAGCCCCCCTGCTTCACTCTTGCCTCTCTACGATGCACTGTTTACCCAATACCTATCAGAGTGCGTCTCACCCCAACTCGGAGTCCATTTAGTGCCCACTCCTCACGACGGCCCTATCCGGCAAGGCCCCTTTGAAATTCTTCCTAGAACTCATTCACCTACGAGGTTCAAATTTCATTAACTTTCTTTTCTTAGAACTCAGCAAATTCATGCCCATGTTTGGGTCTTCCTTTTGCCTGGGAACGGTGCCCTCAGTTCTTCCCATGGCTTCTCTTTGTCATTCAAACCTGATATGAGTCACCTCTTGCCCAAGGTCCTTCTGACCGTCTCGTCTAAAACCGCCTCCTTCCCTTCACCTGCTGTTACGGGACTCTGATTATTTTCTCCAAAACACCTTTCATCATCAACAGTCCCTTTGTTCATATTTCTCCGGTTACTGTATGTCTTCTCCACCTAAACTGGTTCTTCTTCATCAACTCCAGTGCCCAGGAAAATGCAAACAGTGGCCACTTTACCACCTCAACTACCTTCTTTCTGTCTTAAATAGAAAAATATCTACTTAAAACTTTTAAGGCCATGTGCAGTGGCTCACACCTGTAACCCCAGCACTCGGGGAGGCTGAAGCATTAAAAAAACAACAACAACAACAACAACTTTTAAGACCCACTCTGCATCAGTAAGCTCCATACTATAAACTGTAAACTGATAGCAAGGCTTCTTCAACAAATCCATGAATTCGTGCTATTTATTTATTACTACCATGAAGTTCACAATAAACAAATCAGGTACAGCTGGTAAACTTCATTAATCTCTTTGCCGCCATTGCTGATTTTAAACTAAGTAAAAGTGAAAACCCTTCAAGGGACAGTACTCCATCACAGACATCCTGGTTCTACTCAGCTGTGTTCAATCTTCCACTTAAATGCAAGTGACGACCCTCTTTCAGTAGCCCTTATGACTCTGAAATATATATATATATAAAAAAAAGTGTATATATATATATATACATATATATATATATATATATATAAAATGTATATATACGACAGTAAAATAGGTTCTCACACAAATACTGCTTGTAAGTTATTTGGTCTGAAAAAACACAACCAACAAACTACACTGAAATAGACTGTGAAACCCAATTCTAAAATCCAATATTGAAAATTTTTTTCTGAAACAGTGACTTACATGTGCTACATTTGATGGCCGGTTCATCTGCTGAATGTCAGCATTATTAGTAATATTCCTCAATGTCCGTACAGCTGGGCTCCAGGCAGCTATCATTTCTGATCTTTCAGAACTTTGGAGATTTTGTCCAGAAGCCATTAAATTAGCCCGGACCTCAGGGGGCAAAATGTTACCTGGAACGGGTGGGACATTGGCACACAAGTTAATCAACCCAGGCTCCTTTCCCTGAGGCAGCCTGCGTTTTGCTGCAGCTAACTGTGGGACTTCGGCTGGGGTCCAGTTTAAATTTCTCTCTTGTTTTTCCGGTGATGAATCTGAAGAGTCATCAAACATCAATTCCCCTTTAGATTTTTCGGTGTTGGATTTGGGTGAAAACTGCTGGTCACCTGAAGGAGACCCTTCTTGAGAGCTGGCAGGGCTTGACTTCTCATCTGTACTACCCTCATTCTGAGAATCTTGTTCCTCATTTTCTACTTCCTCCTCTTCTTCCTCTTCCTCTTCTTCCTCTTCATAAATAATCAGACGAGGATGATAAGATGCTTCGTCTTTTTTGGTTTTCTCTGATACACAATCCAGAACCCAGTCAGGAGTCACAATTTTAATACTTGCTCGCTTTAAAGCACATTCATATTTCTCCTATGAGGAGCAAAACAAAGCCGTAAATTTCATCACATTTCCTAGAATTATGCGTTTCAGAAAAAAACTCAAGAGAGAAATGCAGATGAAATGTTGAGCAACTATTATTGCCGTTTTAAACATAAGGTAAGTTTGATCTTTTAGACAGTGGACATGAGGCAAAAGTTAAAGTGAACCATACAGCAGTGATCGTAGGAAGGTCTCATGTCTGTAGTAGGAGTCTTAAAAGACTTGGATTAAAATCAACTTTTTAAAATGATATTTTAAGTACAAAAGTAGACCTAGTAATCCTATAGAAAATTATGAAATGAATAATTGCTATCTAAGTTTTTATTGATGGATAATATTTAGAAATCTAGTTTTCCATGACGGTTAGGTAAAGTAAAAGCGTGGCAGAGTGCTGCCAATGTATCCCCTGCACTCGTGGAGCGTGGCTGACTTGCACAGAACAGCTCTGTTCGTGATCCAGTGTTTACGGGGCTCATGCTATATGCCAAGCAGCACTAAGGGATGGAGACACAGAGAATGCCACGAGTCTCTGACCTAACAAGGCTCACAATTTGGTTCTAAAGAGAAATTAAATACAAAATGCAAATACAATGTAAACCAGTGCTGAATCATGTGGTGACAGATTGGAAGAGGATCTCCTTAACATAAGCTGGAGGACATCCGGAAAGCCCCCGTTGAAAGGTGAGCTTTGGCTGGGGCATGAATGGTGACAATTTCCACAAGGAAGCAGAAAATATAGCCCAAAAGAAAATATACATGCCTGGAGTAGGATGTATGTAGGATGTATGGCAAGCTAACGGAGGCCTTTCCTCTGGTAAAGGTTGCATAATATGGAAGGCCCAGGAGAAGGAATAAGAAAGAAAGAGAAAATACATAAAAAATGCTACCTAAGACAACAATAAAGCAACTTTAACATAAATGAGTTTGTAAATCTGGCTTTGCTTTAAAAGCCTACACATAACAGCAATTCTCTAGCCAACACAGAATCAGGGCCCTAAACTCAACTCCACATCCTGTTGCAGAGCCCCAAGGCGGCACCTGCAATTTACGGGGGGGAATAAGAGTCACACGGGATAGGGAAGCACTGTTCACTCAGGAGACGCAGATCCTTGCAAAGAGTGAGCTGTGCACACTGCTCAGTGACTTAACCTGTTTTTGTGAGGCTGTTCTTTCTGAAACCTTTTTAAAATACAAGAAAAACCTAGTCATGGGAGATACCCATGAATAAGAAGCTAAGCAAAGGAAAATGGATGTAATCATAATCACACTGACTAGAGAGGACCACGATTAACATTTTTAGGGTATAGCTTAAACTATTTTTGTCATAAATATATACGTACATATATTAAAAGGGCAAAGCGAAAAAACACAGTCATAGTGAACAAATACTTGATGATGTTCCTTTTTCACTTACTGTATTGTAAACAACCTCTTCCTATGACAATATGTACACTTTCATGCTTGTCTTTAACTTTTTAATGTACATTTTCAAACACAGACCAAATTAGAGACTAGTGTAATAATTCCCTTGTACTTGTTACCCAGTTTCAATAACCGGCAACCTTTTACAAACCTTGCTTCTCCTTGACTTTGTTTATGAATCTCAAATTGATAAAGACTTTCTAAACCACCATAATTATCATAGCAGCAAAATGAACTATGATTCACCTCATCCTCAGGCCCTCCTCACATCTCCCCAGAAGTCTCAAAGGCTCCCCTAGTGCTAGCCACATAGTTATTTCCAGTGTTTCACTACTAGGAAAAACTGGAGTTACATTTCATGACCAATTCCTAGGTTTTGGTGTTGAGTTTTGAAAAGTTAACACCGATTTAAGGCTTCATAGCTATAACTACACTTCCCTCAACAAACAGGCTATACCAATTACACTTCCAACAGCTATGTAAGATGTAAGAGTATATCAATTTACCTATACCCTTCATAATAATATTTTTAATTTTTTTATCCTAAAAACCATGTTGTTCTTAAATATTTAAAAGCATAAAATTTTATAAAGATTTCCCCAGATGATAAATACAGATGATAAATTTCTACTAGAGATTTTCAATTTCTGAACTACCCATCCCAGAAGATCCTCATTGTTATTTTAGGAAAATATAAAGTCCAGGTACACAGCAAAATACTTATGAACTAATTATTGAATACAAAAATATCTGCTTGATTAACATATGATCATATGTAATATGGTTTACATATTACTTTTCCAAGGTAAAAAGATATTTGTTGAAATAATAAAATATGAAGAAAGTTATTTTTAATTCTGTTTTAACAAATACCAACACACACACACACACACACACGCGCGCATGCACACACACACACGCACACCTCAAAACTATTACCATGAAGAGGAGTCACTGAAAATTGTAGATATAAAAAAGAGAATTTCACACTTAAAAAGGCTAGGATACAGTAGGCTCTTGAGCTCCTAGTTTGTACAGAATGCTGGCATTTCACATTTCAGAAATAACTTGACTATTTCCTACGGAAATCTAAGTAAAACATTTAGGTAGCCTTACTATATTTCACTCAAGTTTTCTCTCACTTTTCACAAGACAGATAGTTTTTAATAACTGAAAGACAGTAACTGTTTCAACAAAGATTATTTCAGAGCAAAGCAATGTTCAGATGCCTTTGCCTGAGCCAATTTATCAGCTACATTGTTCTAAGTTTTGTATCCTCAAAACTTCTAACTCACTAAGGGCCAAGGACCTCGAGAGTCAACCATGTCCCCTCACCCCAGCAACTAATAACCATACCCTGCTTCTCTTGGCTTTAAGTTATAAATTCTTTCATTCTTCTCGGTTTGAAACTTTTAAACTTCAGTAGTGTAAAAGATAGTTTTATTATACAATTTGCACAAGCTTTTGCTATGTGCTCATTAAAAAAAACAAAAACAAACATTTACTTTAAAAAGAAATGTTATTTTTGCGTATAGTCAGCTGGTCTCTAGCATTCATATAATTTACAAATTAGAAGAAACTATTTAAATTCACCACTACTAGGTTTACGAATTTATGTCTGAATAGATTACAAAATACAATAATTAAAGGGAATGATAAAAATTCGGTCTTTTTAAAGGGATTTAATTTTTCAAATATTCTGGTTATTAAGTTACATAAGCCACAGATGTAATCAGTGAATCAAGAATGAAATAGCTAACTATAATTTACATTAACTTAAAACCATTTTGGTTTTATAAATAGACTATGCCAGAATATACAGTTCCTTAGTTCATTTTATAGACTAGTGCTTCTCAGCCTTCAAGTGGTGAGTGAGGAAGAACCAGGGAAGAGGCGAGGTGAGGCAGGGAACACCGGGCAGAGAAGGGTGCGTGGCCAACCGTGATCCTACAGGAATGAAACACTATTTCTTAAAGACAACAGGCAGACATGAGGACGAAGTCCATTCTGTCTCCTTTTGGTCCTGTGATCTTTTTTTTTTTTTGAGACGGAGTTTCGCTCTTGTTACCCAGGCTGGAGTGCAATGGCGCGATCTCGGCTCACCGCAACCTCCGCCTCCTGGATTCAGGCAATTCTCCAGCCTCAGCCTCCTGAGTAGCTGGGATTACAGGCACGCACCACCATGCCCAGCTATTTTTTTTGTATTTTTAGTAGAGACGGGGTTTCACCATGTTGACCAAGATGGTCTCGATCTCTTGACCTCGTGATCCACCCGCCTCAGCCTCCCAAAGTGCTGGGATTACAGGCGTGAGCCACCGCGCCCGGCCGGTCCTGTGATCTTACCTGAAAGTAACTCAGTGACACTAAAGAGTTGGTACTACTCCCTGAAGTTTTGGAAATTTATGAGCCTTATTTTGTCACAAAAGCTAACAGGGAAGAAATGCTTGAGGGAAAGCTAAGTCCTACAATGATCAAGACAATGCTGCACAGTCGAGAAATTCTCCTGCCGACATTCTGGGTATGTACCACCACTCATATTAAAAAATATCTGGAGGTATATATATTAATCTTCCAGAAAAGCAGCTACCAAAAAAATAAAAATAAAAGGAATTATTTCTTATGCAAAAATTTACTGCAAGTTGATCAGTTTTTTAAAATTGAATTTTATTAGGAAATATTACCAAGGGCAATGATCACTTATTACAACAGATACACGTTAGTCTTTTTCTGCAGCTGCCATATTCATAATTGTGATATATTTTTTTTAAATGCTCATATGTGTAAGTTATACATATAAATTTTATTTTTATTTTTTTGAAACAGGATCTCACTCTGCTGCCCAGGTTGGAGTGCAGTGGCGTAATCATGGCTCACTGCAGCCTCAGCCTCCCGGGCTCAAGCAATCCTTTCATCTCAGCCTCCTAAGTAGCTAGGAACACAGGCATAAGCTACCGGGTCCAGTTAATTTTTCATTTTTTGTAAAGCTGGGGTCTCACTTTGTTGCCCAGGCTGGTCTCAAACTTCTGGGCTCAAGAGATCCTTCCACCTTGGCCTCCCAAAGTGCTGGGATTTACAGGTGTAAGCCACCACTTCTGGTCCATGTAATGTCTTACTACTTCACTGTCTTCTCGGGTAGCTATGCTTGAGCATTAAAAAAATCCTCTATGTTTCTCATTATTAATTGCTTTCTTTCTCTTTCTTCACGTGTGGGCATTATGGCTTCTTAAAAATTATATAAGGCCGGGCGTGGTGCTCACGCCTGTAATCCCAGCACTTTGGGGGGCCGAGGCGGGCAGATCACTTGAGGTCAGGAGTTCAGGACCAGCCTCGCCAACATTTGGTCTCTACTAAAAAGACAAAAATTAGCTGGGCATGGTGGCGAGTGCCTGTAATCCCAGCTACTTGGGAGGCTGAGGCAGGAGAATTGCACGAACCAGGGAGGCGGAGGTTGTAGTCAGCTGAGATGGCGCCAGTGCACTCCAGCCTGGGCGACAGACTAAGATTCTGTCTCAAGGAAAAAAAAATTATCGAGGAACAGTAATGTGTGTAAGAAAGGAGTGGTGGGTATCTGTGTTTCAGCCTCCTTAAGGGGACAGCGGGACTTCCTTCACAGCACGCCATGAGCAGCGCTGTACCGTCACTTAGGAAGTGCTCGCTAACGGGTGCCTATGAGTGTTATTTTTATTACCGGCAAATACAAAGTCTGCTTTTAACAAATATTTACCAGTGCAGAAGAAACAAAGTAAGCATTTCAATAGTAGTTCATTTTTCCCTATGTGGAATTAGTTCATTTAAAACTGGGAAATTAAAATTGGAAAAGCTAAAAAGACTTATCTTTCTTTTCAAGTCCATAAATGAAATAATGAAGAACAAATACATTACATAAGACAATACTGTAACTCCACTATTGACTTAGATACGCTCTTTATACATGTGTAATACATGTATACATAATATCTTGTTTAATATCAACTTTTCAAACACATGGAGTATTTGCTTCATCTAAAAATAATTATAGTAGCATATTTGCTGTCTTATTCACAAACATGGTTTAGCCAAATAAAATGATTTCTTTTAAGTGCCTCTTTGTTGGGATAAATAAAGCTTAATTAGAGCATTTATATATAGACCTTGCGACTTAGATATGGTTTTCCTTCCAAATAAAAATTTAAAAAGATTCCACTATAAACTTAAAAAATTACTCTAAAGTCAAGACATACTTTAAAATATATACTATATCCTAAAGCCCAAAGAGTTACTAAGGACTTATCACCAAAATATTTTGGAAGGGGAAAAAAACCCTAAATAAAGAACTAGAATTAAAAAGTCAAAAACTATTCAAAACAGCTTTGACAAACACGCTCTGTTCACATATTGCCTCTTCTTTTTTTTTTTTTTTCCTTGAGACGGAGTTTCGCTCTCGTTACCCAGGCTGGAGTGCAATGGCGCGATCTCGGCTTACCATAACCTCTGCCTCCTGGGTTCAGGCAATTCTCCTGCCTCAGCCTCCCGAGTAGCTGGGATTACAGGCACCCACTACCACATCTGGCTAATTTTTGTATCTTTAGTAGAGACGGGGTTTCGCCATGTTGGCCAGGCTGGCCTCAAACTCTTGACCTCAACTGATCCGCCTGCCTCGGCCTCCCAAAGTGCTGGGATTCCAGGCATGGGCCACCGTGCCCGGCCAACAGGACGTATTCCTAACAAGTCCCCAAGAAGGGCAGATGCTGCTGATCCAGGGACCCCACTGGGGAAACACAATCCACACGACCACATCATTGCTCGGGGATGAGAGCTCTATGCTTATCAAGACAAAAGTCATTTTCATATATTCCAGATTATGAAGAAGGAAATAGATCAAAAACTTCACCAAAGGCATGGCATGAGGTTAAAAAATATATATATATGGTGAAGGGAATTAAAAATACATTTTTTTAACACATAAAAATGAACCAAAGTTTTATCGGATTTGAAAGGAAATTCTACAGATTAATAAAATTTTCATATTTTCCCCATGAAACAAAGCCAGATTTCATAGTATTTAGAAACGTTATATTTGGCTTATAATTTACAATCATCTCACATCTTTTGTATCACGAAGCCGGATATACATAATATAAACCAGTATAATCAGTTTTTGTAAATGAAAGATAATAATTTAAAAGAAGCTCAAGAAAGACATGAGATTACTGGAAATTCTTAAATGACACACAAAAAGAAGGTGGCACAAGAAATCCTTACCCCCTTCGGCTCTGGAACAATCAAATGCGTGCATTTCTTATTGAGGGTTAGCTGGCAATTCCCCCCGTAGAATGTAACCAAAGCCCACAGGGCACTTCTGTCTTCAGATGACACCTGATAGAAAGGTAGAAAGAAGGCTTTTTACCATAAATCTCAACCTGTTCATGACTATATTTTCATTTTAGCAATATACTGCAACAATTCTGTTTCTCCCTTAATAAAGTTAACCTAAGAATATTTGTGGAAAAAATAGAGAAGCTCTTAGCTATCTGCTTATTATAATAAAAACTTCTGTAACAATAGTTTTACAGATATAAATTACTTATTTTGCCTTGTCACCAAATGAATTTAAAAATATTTATATCCACATTCCAAAAAGCGGAATGAAGGATTATTTCAGTCTATAACAAAAATAGACAGGGGAAAAAAAGCAGGAAGAAGTAGTACACCATTCCAGCTTTCATCTGTTGTCACTTCTGAAAATGTTTAACTACAACAGCAATACCAAATCGTATTTAGAAATGCCTTTATGCTAATGGGTGACAAATACTAATTATGAAATGAATAAAATAAAAACAAAGATAAAAGTATGGTGGCTTATAAGTTCAGGGGAAAATGTAAATATTACTTAACACAGGAAAGAAAGAAGGCAAGCATAAAAGGAAAACTTCTTATGCTTGCGCGGTGATGAAGTAAGACTCCAGAAACAATGGCTTATGTGGTCAAACAGGCTTTCACTGTAACAATAGAAACAGCTACCATTTATTGCCTGCCTACTATGTGCCAGGAACTGTGCCAAGTGCTTTATCTATGCATCTAACCCTTATAACCACCATGTGAAACAGGAATCATTAGCCCCATTTAAAGATAAGGAAACACTAAATCACACCTAATAATTGGAGAAGCTGGCTTTTAAAACCCAGGTCTGTCTATACCCAGGTCTAACTCCGAACTGGGTCTCTCCATTGTTCTCTAGTGCTTCTCTAAGGGCAGTTACTGATGGGAAAGTCAAAAATAACTTCTTAAAAAATAAAATTTTAGAGTCTGAAAAGCAAAAGAACATTTAAGAAAAATAAAGATATGAGCATTATTTTCTAAGATAATCATTTAACCAAGTAAATTTTTTCTGGATAAATTTATTGTAAGTTGAGGATTGTAGTTGTTGAAGAATCCTGAACTTTGTCTCAACTTAACTTTTTAACAGTATTGATAATAGCATGTTAATCGCTTTTTAACTGCCGGTATGCAGCTTGACAATAATTTAGCATTCTTCATCTACTTTCATCCATTTCACAAACATTTCTAGAAATTATTTTGTATTACACACTACTCTATGAATATTAACAAGAACATGTTAGCTTTCTAAAATCACCTTTCAAATCGTTATTTTATATCTTGTTAATTTAGTAAGTCAATGTCACATTTCAGAAGACCGGACCAGGTTATTTTTATTAGAGGCTTTCACAAAAACACTTATAACCTGCAGCTTTTGGAGAGCTGAGATTTAATTATATGATAATACAGATTGATGCAATGAGTCATCATATAATCTTTATTAAAAATGAAATTTAAAAATATAATCTAGAGATGCCTTTATTACCAAGATTTGCCTATGCGTTCAGCTAAATATTCTTTTTATTTCACTGACTGAAGTAGATCTAGTCCTATACCCTATGTGGCCTGTATCACAGGCGGAGACCTCAACAGGGTGCAATATATTGCTGTGGAAAGAACATCACTTAGGGAGGAATGGAGGCGACCTGCAATTAACACAATGCCTCCAATAACTAGCTTACGTCAACTTGGAAAACTTCCATAACCCAGCTTCTTCACTGATATACGTTTGGATTAAATGACTTTGAACATCCATACCAGCTCATTTAATGAACCTCCACCAGCACCATTAATAATTAAGAATGCTCTTTCCACACCAAAATGTTAACAATAGTTACTTAGTGGTGACAGGATTATGGGGACAGTTTTATTTTCATTTTTATACTTTTCTGTATTTTCCAAATTTTCAAAAGCATTAATTTTATAATTGGGGAAAGTGCTTTTCTTTTTTAAAATCCATCTTTCCAAAATACCAATCTTATCATGTTGGCCAATAAACCTTTGATGTCTCCTCAGTGCTATAAGGCTAAACCCCAAAGACTCTCCTGTGGTGCCCGGGCCCTTCCTGTCTGGCTGGCTCCTGACCGCCTCCTCCTGCCCACTGGCACTGCCCCGCATGCACTGCAGTCCTCATCACGTTCTGCTTGCCCCGTGCCCCAGCCGTGCCCACCCTCAGCCCTCCTCCTCTAAGACTTGGCTCAGGTAGCGTTACCACTGTACTCCCACAGCAAGCTGGACAAAAATCTAAATACTTCTTACACTCTACAACTATCTGCTTGCTTGTCTGTCCTCCCAACTATACTCCAAAGCAACCAGGAGCAGAGGACTAGAATTTCAAGTCTGTGCCCCAGGGAATAAAACTTTCCTTTAAACCAATCAGGAACACTCCCTTCTCCTTCAGGCCTTACCACCCCCAATAAAACACTCCTTGATTCTAGCTTCCAGGATTTTCTCCTTGTCCAGTCTTAATTATGAACTTTAACATTCCTTATGAAAGAGTCTTACATAATGTCCTAAACTTCTCTGAGATTTGTCATAGTACCTAGTACAGTGCAAGGCACATGGGTAGGCAGTCAAGAAATACTGTTGATTGAGATACAGAATGGAAAGGACTTTTTAGTCTTCTAGATTTAAATCATGACCTGGCCAGGCTCTCCATTACACTCTTGACCTATTCCCCAAAACCTACCCAGCACATTACAACAGAGGCCTCAGCCTGCATCAATACCGGGTCAGAAGAAGGCAGATGATCTCTGTGCTTCCCAACTTCTGCTGGACAAGCTCCCTTCCCTACCTCTCCCTGGGAGAGCTCTGGAAGACTCCAACAAAGAGCTCCAGCTTGTATCAACACCCTGACGGGGAAAAGACAGAAGGTCACTGAGAACCACCAAGCAAACAGTCCTTTTGTAAAGCTGGGGTCCTGCCTGGCGTGTGCATGTGAGCGTGTGTGTCCCAGTGTGCAGAAAAGGTGCAGATCCCTCTGACAGTCTCCAATCCATTCAGAATAACCACCGTGAGCACTCCCTGTTTCTGTACCTGGTGCCCACTTTCCTTTTTGCGTATGTTGCAGCATAACGTATTTGCCCATGGTCTGTCCCCTCCTAGGCTGTAAGTTTACTGAGAGATAAATTGCATCTTAATTAATGTGTACCCCTTTGCACCGCTCCTGTCACAAAGGAAGTGCCCATCAAGGATTTGTTGGACCAAAGTCCCTTAGCTGCACACTGTACATATGTTTGTTAACATATCTTAAAACCGAAATAACATATTTTTTTTAGCAACCACAAAATATTCGTGCTCCCAATGCACTTTTCTTAAACTATTTCCAGGGTTTCTTCATAGAAGTGACTATTAAAGTCTTCCCCATCCCTATTTGCACAAGGTTTCTCAACTTAAAAGAAATGCATTTATTTTACCCCATGACACACTGGGGATGTCAATTCATCATGCTAAGCGATGAACTGCGGTAAGTATAGTAAGCCCATAAAGATCACACTGATTCTGGAGGTGAATCTTCTTCTCCACTCAATTTGCTAAAAGGATATAGAACACTATCAAGGATCTCGCTAACAAATTAACCCTTTTGTCCATTGACCCAGTCACTCCCCTTGATAAGTTTAGCACCAAGGTAAAATTGGACCTTTCATCTGACAGTGGGTGAGCAGTGCGTCTGCCCAGTTTGTCACCAGCAGGGCCCCTTCCCAGACCACACAATCAAATGACACTATTCCACTGCTAAGAATCGAGCTCTTCATGTTTTCTGACCAGTTTGCTCACCCAGTTGTTTCTTTATGGATATCCATCTTCCTATTCCCACAGTGACTACACCGGTGACTTCATCATGAGAACCCAACATCTACTTAGACCCCTCAGCCTGCGACTGAGCCAGCTGATATTCCTGTATCAGTTTCTATCATCCTTTTCCTCCTCTTCCTGGGTTACAGAATAGGACTGAGGATACACACAAACCTATGTACGACTACCTCCTACCAATTCATGTTCTAAATCTCTACCTAGCTTGTTATTTCCCAGCAATAAAAATAAAAATGATTAAGTCTGATTTTATCTTGGCTTCTAAAAATAATATCCTGCTCCTCCAGTATCATCTCTGTTTTCAAGCTCCTTCTTTTATTCCTCCCCAAATCTCTCTAACAATGCCCGCTATCCAAGGCTCGATTCCCAGTTATCTGCTTCTCTCTCTATTATGCTCTGCAGGAATTTCCTTCATGCCACAGAATCTCCAAGTTCCTACACCTCCATACCTGATCAACAGCCCAAAGTGTGTTTCAAACCAACATCATCATCTCTCCTCGCCAATCAGGCTCCTCTCTATTTCCCAGCTCCATCAGTGATGCTGCCACTTGCCTGGTGCTCCCCGCCTGAAACAATGACATAATCTTTGGCTCCTGATCCCCATGTGAAGGCATCCGCCATGGGACCTGGCACAGGGAGGTATACAGTAAGCATCGGCTTCTCATTCTTTTCACAGCATCCCACGCCCCCAATCCCTGCTGAGTCCCATCTGTTGCTAAGTCCCATGTTGTACTTGCTAAGTCCCATGTTGTTCCTGCAGGCAGGAAGCTTGAGTGTCTGCCCTCAGCATCTCCACCAAATCCAATCTCCATTTGTTAAAACTCCAGCCTCTGTCCTGCCCTGCAAGTCACATCCAGAGCTCCTAAACCAGTTTACCTGCAATGATCACAAGTGATTCTAATTTTGTTTGCTTTTATGTTTCCCAAGTTTTCTGAGGTAAGTATTTGTAATCCAAAATTAAATTATGAGAAAAAAAGAGCAATGAAACATCCTGCTACCTACTTTACCCACTTCAAACTCATACACCTTGGTTTCCCAGCATCTCTACCCATCTAGCTGCCTGACCACTTTTTCTTCTACACGCCAATGCATGCCCTTAGCTGACACTGATATCGTCTTACCCAGCCTCTTGTGCACTGCTGACTTCTCACTCCACCTTGCTCTATGCAGAATGCCTTCCTTCCTGCCCCGTGTCCTCCAATTCTGCCGATTCTTTCTGGGCCGCCCAGACCTGCCACCCTCTCTATCAAGGCTCCTTGCCTCACACCCTCTCTATCAAGGCTCCTTGCCTCACACCCTCTCTATCAAGGCTCCTTGCCTCACAATCCAGAACAATGCCCTCTTTCCTAAGCTCATACAGTCATGCCTGTGCCTCCTGTCATACATGTATCATGTATGTATGTCTATACTATAACCTGATTCGTTATGTCTATTATATTACAATCTATTACAAATATAAACTCTGTTAAACATAACTATTAGTTCTTTGGAAGACTAATAATATTCTCTGGTGCTAAACTCATAGTTAATATTTAACAGTGTCTAATTACCTCATTTGAAACTCTATAATCATCTCATATTCACATACTTTTGATTTTCTTATTTATTTCACCAAATCGAGTCTTCAAAATCCTATGTCATTGTGACCTTCATCTCTAAAAAACGCCCACAGGACTCCCTGTCCCAAACTCAGCATGGCCCTTCTTTCTCTCTCCCTTTCTTACTCAATTGGAATCTTTTCTGGATAGTTGGCTCTGAGTCTCTGAAGCCCAGAAATCCAACCAGTGCAAATAAAATTAAATTTAAAAATTCAATTTTAGCCAAAGAACACTGTGTTTATACATAAGTAGTAATGCTTTCATTTTTAAAACTTTCCTGATACGCTGATTGTAAATTTGGAACATACAGAGAAGTAGAGGAAAACAATAAAAATTACATGTAACCATAGCACCCAGCATTTAAAAGGTGTTCTCATTATAGCCAACTTTAAAGATCATTCATGTAAACATACATTTATAACAGATATGAAAAAAGACTGCAAAACACAAATACCAACAAAATTCCTGTTAAAGAGAGTTTTAAAAAAGCCAAGTTTGCTATTTGAAGGATCTCCATCAAATTGATGTCACAAAAACAAAAACAGGATTTTAGAGAACTTCCAGAATACAAGAGACAGAAACAAAAACACGGTAACCACAGATATATTTACTTATTGCTTGGACAGAGGAGAGGGATCAAGTTTAGACTAGTGATATCCTTTGTATTAACTGCTGAGCCTGGCCAAAACCTAACAACGCTAAATCAGATACTACCCAGCTCCATAATCGTCTATCACAAAAGCATAAGGAAAAACAAGATTATGACCAAATTTCTTTCCATCTCACCTAATAACTTGGTTGGATGCACCCCGTCTCAAAGGTGTGTATAGAGAAAGACGACGAAACACTTTCTCAAAATTACCACCTCTGAGCACCAAAATAACAGCCTTGGATGAGGACTGTCAGGTCAAGTGAGATGGGATATTCTACGGTGAACTTTTACCTTCCTAAGGACCACTGATTTTAAACAAATTACTCCACGTAATTTTAAAAAGACTTTAAACAATAACAACTTGATTTTTTTCTAATAGTTTTTTACTATGATTTGAGGTTTTTCTTAGCTGGGGGTTAGAAAAACAAAATACAATAAAGAAATATTAAATATTCAGATACCCAGAACTAACCACTGTTAACATTTTGGTTCCTCATTTCAGATATCTCTTATATACTTTATTTGGTTGGTGTAATACTATACATACCCATGCTACGGCCTGCTTTTGCCACTTAAAACATTTCCCATGTCTTTACATGTGTTCATAAAACAGAATTCAAAAATAGCCGAGTAGCTAGACTACTGTGTATGTATACAGAACAGGCTTCTCAAACATTGTCAAATAGTAGATGATCTGATTGTTTCCAATTTTACCATCCTACAAATTATGCTTATAAGTAAGTGTGAGCACCTTTATGTGTCAGTCTGTCTTTACTTCTATCAACTCGGGATACATTTCTAAACATAACAGAAATGCAGGTGAAAATGAAAGAAGCATTTTAAGGCTCTTTACGCTGTTCCCCTTTCCTAGGAAGCTGCTGCACTGACTCCCCTTCCTGCAGGCAGGAAGCTCGAGTGTCTGTCCTCAGCATCTCCACCAGCACTGAACACACTGCTAGAAATTCGAGGAGCAAAAATTCTTATCTCACTGCTATTAAAATATTCATATCTTTGATTATAAAGTGTATCAACTATTTTGTTATAGTATTAGTAATTCCTCTTTATAGCTTCTAAATTCATTTCTCTGCCTTATCTGTTAAGGTCTTTTTTATTCTTATTGCTCTATATCATCCCTTTATTTTTTAAGAAAATTCTTTGCCTGTATTTCAAACTGAATTTTCCGTATGTTTTAATTTTATTTTTAATATTTTTTTCATATTGAAGTTCTAAACCTTTGTAATTTTTTAAATAAGAAAGACCATTTTTACCCGTCGGAAATTTGAAATCTTAAAAGCAAGCATGAATATTTAAATAATTTTAAGTGTCATGAGTTCATATTAAATATAAAGTCAGTTTAGGAAACAGCTTCTCTAAAACAGGTTAACAGAGAGCTCATAAATCCAATCATACAAAAACTCAGAAGTGTCACATATAAATAACTCAAGACTAACTGTAACCATGCTTACCTGAGAAAGGCAGGCAGTGATTCCAAAAAAAATTTGACATGATTCTGGAGAAAAACCATTTACTCTGTTTGACAGTTATTAAGATTACAATGAAACAAGATCAGTGCAACCTGTACTTCACTAACAGATATTACCCACCCCTCTCCACCCCCACTCAGTCAATTTAGGAAAGGGACAGACTTAAGATAGCCAAAGAAGAGTACAGGGCAGAATGGAATCCAAGAGAAGTGGCTGAGTGCTCTTCTGTAAAGTACATTTTGAAATCTAATCTGTCCACTTATACCATAAATCAAATGGATAAAATATACTTGACAGGGGGAAGCCTTTTGACCTCTGATAGCTAGCTAACTATATACACACGTATAAACACACACATACATATACACATACATACACACATATGGCATAGCAGTTATTTTAAAAGCAAAATTAAAATGTTTTAAGTTTCTTTTAGAATGAAACATTGTGACTGCTTCTGTTGCACAGTAGGAAGACTCCTTCATAAAAGAGCTTGATTGAGGTCTAGCTTTATTATCTCTGCTAACTTTGTGAACTCAGGCAAGACAACTGTGACCTTCAATTTCCCCTTTTTTGGAACAGAAGTTGGAACGTATGATTCCAAAGATCCTTCCTATTTCTAAAGCTGATCTTAAAAATTCATTCAAAATCACTAATGAGCACTTATAACACATCACACACTGGGAATTTAACAAGACACAAGGCAGTTATGATCTATATGTGCCTGTAATTCATAGTCTATTCAGAGCAATCAATGACTGTTTTTGAATAATTTAGAGTGTGTAGAATTCAAAATGGGTCAAAGTAGTACTTCTCTTTCCCTATAGTGGAAAAATACGCATATTGAGATAGGTGAATCAAGAAAAAGATCAGCTTAAAAATTCTATTCCAATTTTGAAGTCTCCTATAGAGGTATACAGATGACTCTTATAAATACTTGAGACGTCCCTGACCATAAAAAACTCTGTAGACTGCAATCTGATGCCTTCAGCCCCATTATCCAAGATCTGTTTCCATCCTCTTCCTACGTTAGCTCATGGACTTTCTTCTTCCAAAGATTTGGGGAAACATTAACAAAGGCAAATCTCAGAGCACACTGACTACCAGTAAGTCTCTGGGGCTCCATTGTTTGTTCTTATGGATAGGCAAGTAAGAGCTCACAGAAGATCCCAACAGCCAGGCGCGGTGCCTCACCCCTGTAATCCCAGCACTTTGGGAGGCCAAGATGGGCAGATCACGAGGTCTAGAGATCGAGGCTATTCTGGCCAACACGGTGAAACCCCGTCTCTACTACTAATATAAAAATCAGCTGGGCATGGTGGCGCATACCTGTCGTCCCAGCTACTCGGGAGGCTGAGGCCAGGAGAATCTCTTGAACCCCAGAGACGGAGGTTGCGGTGAACCGAAATCGCACCACTGTACTACAGTCTGGGCAACAGAACAAGAATCCGTCTCAAAAAAAAAAAAAAAAAAAAAAAAAAAAAAAGATTCCAGCTTCTTAAGGAGTCTTGTACAGAGAGTAAATGATCTAGTACAGCAAAATTAGCCTCTTAGCTCTATTCCCAATCTTTTTCACTTCTTACAAAAATAATAACAAAAAAAAAAAACAGGAATTAATTTCCTTCAACTCTTTAAGCTACGTACAAGAAATATTAGAACCTCTGAGGTGGAGTTGCTAAAGTTCTACACATCCTCCAAGAACTGCTTGCAGAGGGATGTTTTCTGTCTCTCTGTGGTTCTCTATAAATATTTCATTATAATAAGTTTCCTTCCATCTGCATTGATTCAATGGGTAATAAGGGCATTCAAGAGAACTGCCTGGCATAGCTGCAAAATAAAATAGAGTACATGACAAAGTATCTTGCCAGGTCTAAAATTTTAGCAACTGTATGGGTATCAGGTACTTGCAAAAGAAAATAATTTCCACAAGCAGTTACACTTGGAGTCACAGTCCAGTAAAGCATCATCCTTTCAGGATGAAAAAGGAGCCACCAGGCCTAGGGGAGTAAACAGCAGGGCTGCAGAACGCCTCATTTCTGACTCCTGACACAACGCCAGGGCAGGCGCACACCCAAGAAATGCTCCACGAGCAAAGAAGGCAAGCAAGGAAGCTCCCTGAGGGCAGAAATGCTCTGCTGCACCACTCTATTTTCAGTACTCAGCCCACAGCACACGGGAGCTGAATTCACACTCCTCCTACCCAATGCAATTAAGAGGATTAACAATGTATAAAACTAAAAATTTTCTTCGCATGTTTTCTTCCCCAATTTACTCTTCAAACAATTCATGATTTGGTCACATAGACTTAGAATTTTAGTAATATTCCTCATCTAGCTATCACCACAAAAGCTGAAGAGAACCAAACTCCTGCCTCCAGCTCCGGCCTAAAGCTGCTTGTCACAGCTGAGGCCCCTTTCAACATGAGTAATGACAAGGATCAGGTACAGAAAATTTGAAACAGGATGAAAAATAGTAGGAATATAAGATGCAGACAAAACAATCTGTCCTAACAAATGAATCCACTTTTCACTCCGTAACTATAATTTCTTTCAGTCCTAAACCCAGTTACCCTTTTTCTCCTCCCCACTCCACAAAAAGGATACGGCAAAAGAGCTCCACACTGAACGGACAGAATCACCCAAGAAGGCTGAAAAAGAAAAGATTAAATCAAAAAGTATTCTCAATTTACAAGTGGCATGTTATTATTTTACTAGTGTTGTTCTTAGAAATTAAAAGGCTCTGTTATAACGTATTTTAAAACATCCAGATTACAAGTATGCATATTCAAACAGAAATATCATAGTCAAAGATTAGTTACTAATGCCCAAGACGAAAAACCCAATCATAGAATAAAGTACTACCATATTTAAAAAAAAAATACGTATAAACATTTAAGTTTCAGGTTTACACACTTATTACTGCTGACCCCATGACTAGAAGGACAGGGGAATTGCCACCCATCCTGCCCCACCACCGCCTCCCCCTCGGCCAGAGCACAGACAGCCCCTCAGCTACTCCTTTTTTGAATCCCAAATTTAATCAAGTCCAAACTCATATGAGGTTTTTGTTTGTTTGTTTTAGTGAAGTCAAATACATACAATGTTTGTAAGCCATAAATATTATTTCTCACTGCCTGAGAATCTTTTTATGAACTCTAAAACTGAGATTAATTATAAAACAGATTAATTACTACCTTTCTGGGTAATTTATATTTTTCAAAAAATATCTTGTTTTTATGTTTAATTTTTATAATTACACAAATCATTACCCTGATAGCTCTACTTCACAAAATTACTATCTAAAAATGTTGTAATGCCCCCATTACTACATTCTGGAAGGCAGCTCATTTCCAGAAACTTCAGGCAACTGAAATATACATATATACTCATTACCCACCCATCAATTCATTCATCAAATATTTATTGAGAATCTATTTTATGCAGAGATGGTACAAGGCAATGGGGATATAAAAATGAAAAAGAGAAAAGCAGTCTTTGCTCTCCTGCAACTCATTTTCCAAGCTAATGATCTTCAAGCTATTTTTGTTATGTACACCTTAAATAAATTTCAGACAATGAATTGCCCCCTTATCATTTTTTAGATGACATCTACAATTTTTCAGTGTGACTTTAAATAAGCATATTTTCTATGAGAAGAGGAATATTAAACAATTTATAAAATAAAATAAAGATTGACAGCTATAGCTGGGATAATTATCTCATGACGATTTGACATTTTACCAGAGGTTTTAACTAAGTTATTGGATTAGTTAACGGAAACCTGAAAGAAGGCACTTAATCCTCATCCAACATATCTTCACATTTTTTGATAGTCCTAGAAAAATTCCAGTTAAATTTAAAAAAACGGGTCAGCATCAGGAATCTGTATTGGCCTTGACACTTCTCCATTCAGGACATCTTCACGTGGGTCAAGCTTTTCTCTCGACAGCGACTCCCAGAAACCCCTCTCTGCTCAAGCTCCCAAGTTTGAGCGCTAAGAGAAGAGTCCCAAAAACGAGTCTTGCTAGTCGTCCTTGGTGAAATTTCAGAGCCTGGGGCAATGCACGATAAGATTAGGATGGGTGAAGGTCTGATCATTCCTGTATAAAGTGGGAGGGGGCCGCTGTGACCACAAGTATGTTCTCAGGCAGCTTTTAGGAAGGGCCAGTCTGGAAATGCATCACATTACAACCATCCATCCACTCAGCATATATGCTGAAAATCTTCCCCCAGGGAGCTTGGGTAGGATATCCCAGTTTAAAGACTGCTGGCTATCATAAAGTCCCATCCAAGCAGAAGAGAATCACTCTGAGGCCCTACTTTAGATAAGTTTAGATAAAGTAATCCAAAGATAGGAAGTAGGCCACAGTATGAAGCAGAAATGGAGAACTATAAAAGCATAGTAATAAAAGAACTATTTATCCCAAAGGCAAAGAACAATATATAAAAATAAGCCTGGCCAATCCCAGCACTTTGGGAGGCCAAGGCGGATGGATCACTTGAGGTGAGAGGTTTGAGACCAGCCTGGTCAACATGATGAAACCCCGTCTCTATTAAAAATGCACAAATTAGCAGGGCATGGTGGCACAGGCCTGTAGTCCCAGCTACTCAGGAGGCTGAGAGAGGAGAATCACTTGAACCCAGGAGGCAGAGGTTGCAGTGAGCCAAGAGCACGCCACTGCAGTTCAGCCTGGGAGATTGTGACTTTAAAAAAATTACATAAAATAAGCCCACTACAAATCAGCAAAATTAACATTTCCAATGATACCCAAAGGCCACTGAGAAAAATACCTCAATTAAAAAAATAATTTTAAAGTTTTGGTGCCTAAAGAAGCAAGGCACTAAAGTTTTAAACATTTATAAAATTCAAATATGTAAATGATAGGTAAACTGTCACCGTGTATAAAAATGCCTTATTTTTAAAATGTATTGTCAAACTTAATATCAAGGTAAAGGCCAAGGGATACGCCTTAGGGAACCAGGTCTCAGCCTTCAGTCAGCTGAATTCAGACTCAACTATTAGCAGCAGGATCCAAAATTAAGACAGGCCCGTAAGGTTCAAACTAAGAATATTAGGATCTACTCCAACTATCTTAGAGTGCAGGCAAACTGCTGGATCAGCTCCGAAATCCTCTACCACCTCATAATGTGACACAGCAGTCCCCGCACAATACAGGTGCTGCCACAAATTACAGGCAGGCTGGAATACTACTGGGTACAGACGAAATATGTCTGTCACTCATTTTAAAATACTATAGCCAGAGGGGGGAAAAGTTGGGTTCGAATACAGTAAACTACCTTGGCAAAATGATGATAATCCTAGAAGCTAACTGCTAATTGTACAAGTAACGGTATTTTTACTTAGCCTTATTATATACTGACTTTCCCAGGAAAGTGAATACCGTGTAAAATGAAGGAAGACTGCTTTGTTTAGCTCAGAACTTTACAGGAATTGATGACCATTCTGAAATGCCACCTCACGGCGGCGACCCCACTTGTGGGGTATGAGATCAATCTGCAATTGCAGCAGGTACAGGCAGTGACTCTACATATAGCAGCAGCTACGCCCAAGTGTTTACACAATGAAATATATACTTATTATTTACTTTCCTTTTATTTTTCCTTCATATTTCAGTTTGGACAATTTACATATACGTATTTTAAAGGTTGGCTTACCTATCGATTCATTTTTAGATAATAAGGGGGGTGCTAACAAAGTATTTATTACAAAAAAGGGGTTTGGAGCCAGGCAGGTTTAAGAACTACCTCAGATAGTTGGCCTGGCAACAATAACCGAGGTGTTAGTAAGATTGCCCTTTCACATAAAATCTGAGTAAGGTATGCAAAGCCACTTTAATGAGACAATAGCTCCAGGCTATTGTCTGAGAGAAAGAAAGTTTGTAGGAAGGGGGAGGGACAGGGATATTGTCCCTATAATCAGGACAATGAAGCAAGCCAGGGACAAAAACATGTTCCAAAGAAGAGGGTGCCTCAGCTCAGGACCTCATCCCTGTTGGGGCACTGGGTAAAGGAACCAGGAAACCTGCTGATAGTCAAGTCTTCACAAAGGGGTCTGCATCCACAGTAGCTCTGAGCTGGCCAGGCTGAAACAAGCCCACCAGTGCATGAGCGTGACTGTTACCACCACAAATTCAGAGTCATTCTGACTTCTACAGCAGTCTCGAGAGTGGTTTATAAACAGCTTCTCTTCAGATAGAGCCACTTTCACATTTATTTTCAAAATTTGAGTTTGTGGCCAGGCATGGTGGCTCACACCTGTAATCCCAGCACTTTGGGAGGTCGAGGTGGGCAGATCACTTGGGGTCAAGAGTTCGCCTGACCAACATGGTGAAACCCCATCTTTAATAAAAATACAAAAATTAGCTGGGCGTGGTGGTGTTTGCCAGTAATCCCAGCAATCCCAGCTACTTAGCAGGCTGAAATCCGAGAACAGCTTTAATCTGAGAATAGCTTTAACATGGTAGGTGGTTGTTGCAGTGAGCAAAGATCATACCACTGCACTGGACAACAAAGTGATATTTCATCTGAAAAAAAAAAAAAAAAAAAAAGAAAAAAGAAAAGAAAAGAAATTCAAGTTTGTAAAGCCTACAAGGCAGTTTCCAAACCAGGGTACTGGGGAGGTCACCACTTCCCAGACGCCAGGTGGCTTCGCTAGCCCTGCAATTTGACTTAATAGCAATCTTTCTATTTTTTTTACCCTATTTCTTTTTTTTTTGAGAGCTTAGTGTCTCACTGTGTTGCCAGACTGGAGTCCGGTAGCTATTCACAGGTGTGATCACAGTGCATAGCAGCCTTGAACTGCTGGCCTCAAGCAATCCTTCCACCTCAGCCTACCAAGCAGCTGGGACTATAGGTGAGTGCCACTGCACCAGGCTGGCAATCTTTCTTAATTCCTAACACCGTTATTATGAAACCATAGTAACTTTCATACTGATTTCTTTGTAAGGCAAAGTATTTAATAACATGAAGAGGGAATAAAATGGTAGTGGTATAGAACTATTTTAAAACAAATACTTAGTAGAGAAGATCTGAAATAAAATGGAAGCATCAGAATTACAAAATTTAACACATTTTTAAAATATGCATTTCAACAGAAGTCAACTAACTTATTAGCCCTAACAGAGTAGTACAGCAGGTAAACAACATCTGAACAATTCTCCCACCAGCTGAATCTCCTATTTTCTGCAATACATTACCCATCGGTCAAGTTGGATACAGTCCAGCCAACTATTGGGTGGACAATGTGACTAAAGGTCACTGTGACCCTTGTCAGCAATGCAGTTGACAGGGGACCCCCTTCAGCTGACCGGAAATCAGCACCACTTGCCAAGGTGAGGGTGGAAAGTAACTCCATCCTAAATGTCACCTCCTGACAGGCCTTAGCCCACTTTTTGAATCAAATACACTCTAACAATAATTCAAACACCCATGTGATTGAAGGCATCAGATCTGTTTCCCATGACAGATTGCCTTGGCTTAGAAAACTTCCAGGCAGTGGTAATACTGTGAGTTCTGTAGCAGGCATAAAGGATGACCCAGAATTACTTATGACATACAGAAACCGTTGCTCTGACTTGGTTTAGCGGAAAGGGCCTGAAAGTAAGAAAGTGACTGAGATGTTAAAGATGTCAACAGTTATCTGGCAACTTTCCACATAAAATGAGACTTTAGGTCTGGGCACAGTGGCTCATGCCTGTAATTCCAGCACTTTGGGAGGACAAGGTCGGATCACTTGAGATCAGGAGTTCAAGACAAGCCTGGCCAACATGGCAAAACCTTGTCTCTAATAAAAACACAAACATTAGCTGGGCATGGTGGCAGGTGCCTGTAAGTCCAGCTACTCAGGAGGCCGAGGCAGGAGACTTGCTTGAACCCCGGAGGCTGCGGTTGCAGTGAGCCGAGATCACACTACTGCACTCCAGCCTGGGCAACAGAGTGAGACTCTGTCTCAAAAAAAAGTTAAAAAATAAAAAATAAAACAGGACTTTAGCAAAGACCCTGAAAAGAGCTATACTGAAACTTCAATGTGTACTTACATGACACACGAGGAAAAGAAATAAAACAAATTGTATTTACTACTGACCTTTACAACAGGTAAATCAAAGACTTCCCGAGCTTCTCCAACCTCTGGATTGTCCCCATCCTCCGAAATTATGTGTGAGGCTAGTGCATTGTAGGAAACTTCCTTCGCTTTTCCAGCTTTCAGAAGCTGAATAACCTAAAAAACAAGAAAACCCACACAAGTTAAAATGGACAGCGCTGTACTGCACTCTTGATTTATATAATTATTGGACATAATGGAAATTTTTAATAAAATATGCCGTATTTCCCACATAAAAACTAACAGCCTTTTACTCTGAATAATATGCCAATGAAACTTCTGGGGATAATAAAAGTCAGCAAATCTTGATTCACTGACCAAGTAATAGAGGCTATTGTGAGTCAAGTACTGGACATGGCGTGTCCTCCAGACAGATGGGCTGGACTGACCAGGACATAGCACAGTCACTGCCGTGGCAGGGCCAACACACACGGCACTCCTGGGCAAGGGGAGTTTCACCACAATTAAGGAAAGATTCTGAAAGAGGAGATAATGAGCAGAACCCTTGTGAACGTCTGGGTGTCAGGCAAAATTCCATACACCAAGGAGGTGGCAGTGTTGAAGGTACCGAACAGGTGAATACATACCAGACCATAAAAGGGCTTTCTAACACCCTATGCAAAAAAGTCTGCTTCATTCTGGGGTATCTGCAGGGACACTGAAGGATTTCACACAGGAAAAGTAGCACAGATTTCATAGAAAGATGATGTGTGAAAAGAATGGATTGGGTTGGCTGCCTGGGTTTGGCTAGCTGGGTGACTAAAGAGGCCTGTTAAGAAACAGGCGCAATAACCCAGGTCAAAGAGGCATCCACTAAAGGGATGTCGCGAGGGGCAGAAAGGCGGAAGATGAGAACGAACTGGCGAGCCTTGGTGTCTAGCAGAGGTATAAGCAGAAGAGCAAAGTCCAGACTGAAACGGTAGGGGAATACGAGGACCACTCACTAAGGAAGATATTAGAAGGGTGGCGGGTGGGGGATGCAAGAACATGTTTTAGAGTGGGCACACTGTTCTGCAGGGGCCATGTGTAATATCCAGCAACAGGCATCCAGTTGCAGCTAGGAAAAGAAGTGGATCTCACCGAACAAAAAGTCATCAGATATTACACAGACCGGAGCCAAAGCCATGAGGTGATCCCATTGCAGAGTGGGAGGGGAGCTAGAGAGTGGACACCACAACTGATACTTCAGGGCCAGGTAGGGAAGTACGTATTGTAGGAGAGAAGCATCCACAGAAGCCAAGGAAGCGAGGGTGAAGGAACAGTTGAGTCAAGTGCTTCAGAGGAGCTGGCTAGTGTCTAAGCTGACAATGAATACCAAGTGTGAAAGTGATATGGTGCCCAAAAAGCTGAAGTGACCCACAAAAGCAACGCTCTTCTGGGTACCCTCTCTGCAGCAGAGAGCTTTCTTCTTTCACTTATTAAGCTTTTGTTCTGCTGGGTGTGGTGGCTCACACCTGTAATCCCAGCACTTTGGGAGGTTGAAGCAGGTGGATCACTTGAGGTCAGGAGTTCAAGACCCACCTGGCCAACATAGTGAAACCCTGTCTCTACTAAAATACAAAAATTAGCCAGGCGTGCCGGTGGGTGCCTGTAATCACAGCTACTCCAGAGGCTGAGGCAGGAGAACTGCCTGCACCCAGGAGGTGGAGATTGCACTGAGCTGAGATCGTGCCACTGCACTGCAGCCTGGGCGACAAAGCCAGACTCCATCTCAAAAAACAAACAAACAAAACTTTTGTTTCAACCTCAAAATAATAATAATAAAATAAAGTGACCCTCAGGCTAGGCAACCTTTTCACAATACTATACTGACCACTAACAGATATGAACTAGGGCAGAGGCTCAATATTCAATAAGTGAAAAACAGCGATCGCTGAGCAGGGGTCACTTTTCCTTTACTTCTTCCCTTGACCTCTAAGCATCTTCAGCTTCATGCATCTGTTCCACCTGTCTGCAGAAAAGACACCCCTCCTTTTCCTATCCTCCAGTCTTTCTGATCCTACCGCCTTCTTCAAGAGTCTTTAATTCCAGTCTCTCCCTGTCCACAGCTATGCTCCCTCCACCTGTAAACAGTGAAGTCTCCCACATCCTCCCGTGTGCTTGTGATGCAACACAGAGCCCTCCCAGCCCTCTCCTCCTCTGGCACCTTCTGTTTTCTTCTCAGGGCAAATTTCCTGAAAGAGCCTAACCTTTCTGTTCTCAGTTTCCATTCACTCTTCAGCTCCCTGCAAACCAGCTCCTTCCACCGACACTCTACCAAAAATACTTATTCAGTTTTCACAGACTTTGAGGATGCCAAAACCAAGCGCTTATTTCCATCTCCACACTACTGAATATCTTAATAGATTTATCTCATGTCACTCTGTTCCACATATAGTGATCATCCTGATGTATTCCAAATGCACGAATGCCTTCATCCCTCAGCACACACGTTCCACATGAAAATATTCCTTCATGTTCCCAACTTCTGCTTATCTCAAAAGCTAACTGAAATGACACCTACTTAGTGACATTTCAGTGGTGTGTGCTCTGCACCCCAGTGGAGAAATCTGCTACCCCTCGTACTGTGATGTGCCCAAGTGTGTTCCCTCCCCGAACAATGGGGGGCGCTCAAGGGCAGGTACCATGTCCTCTTCACCTTTATGTTATACCTTCCACCCAGGCCATGCCTGCCTCATACTAGACGGTCTACATGTGAACTTATAATCCACAGTCAGAAGAGTCAGAGAATCAGATGTCCAGACTCTAAACGTTTCAGAAAATACACTCTTTCAGACGAAAGTGGTTTGCCAAGGACATTTTTAAGCGCTTAGATTTAATTCATAGTTGAGTAAATATGATTCTAGTTCAACTTGTTCCAGGTTTTAAGTAAAATTTGGTCCAAGTGCCTTGTAAGAGCCAAAGTCCTAAAATCAAACAGGAAGGGTAGGAAGGAGGGGGCAGAGAAAAATGGTGGATAGCAAAAAAAAAAAAAAAAAAAAAAGTGGGGGGCCGGTAATCATCATCAATACTGGAAAAAGCTAAGACTGTTATAACACTGTTAACGGCACTCATTTTGATCACTCTGTGCTCAGTAACCGTTTTACTCTTTTAATGAGAAGCAAGATGTTTCTCTTTTTCGTGTGTGTGAGATAGATTCTCGCTGTGGTCGCCCAGGCTGGAATGCAATGGCGCCATCTCCGCTCACTGCAACCTTAGGCTCCTGGGTTCCGGCAATTCTCCTGCCTCAGCCTCCCGAGTAGCTACAACTACAGGCGCCCGCCACCACATCTGGCTAATTTTTGTATTTTTGGTAGAGAAGGGTTTTTACCACGTTGGCCGGGCGAGTCTCGAACTCCTGACCTCTGGTGATCCACCTACCTCGGCATCCCAAAGTGCTGGGATTACAAGCGTTGAGTAACCACGCCAGGCCTAAAGTTACAGCGCAAAAGGGTCCAAGAAAGTTGTTACTAAGATACAAAGACGAACCTCAAGAAGGCCAAGGCCAGTCTTCTACACCAGCCAAGTTCATTTGCTAAATATTAGTCTCCGGCCTTCCAGGCCTAACTCTGATCACTCGGCACCCCCATCCTGCAAGGTGGGCGCCACTGATGTCACACCCAAGGCAACATTAAAAAAAAAAAACCGTACAGTTAAACTTTTATGAAGGAAATGTTCTGAAGATTAACCTGAAGAGGATATTCCACTAAGATGCATTCCTATCAGGGACTGCTAACTGTGTGACATCAAACAGATGTATTATTATAGGAATACGAACGAAAACCTACAAGAGTCTTCGGCACGAGCCCAAACTACGCAAAATCAAATGTGTAATGTGATGGTGTTACCAGGGTACCGTCAAATTAATCATCCGACTGGGAAAATCAAGGAAGACGAGCGCCGGCCCCCACGTGCAAGGACGCAGGCTGGAGGGGAGCGCCCCTCGGCCCCGCTCAGAACCGCGACTGCCCGGGCGGCGGGGGCGGCCACGCCGGGACAAGGACACGGCCCCCCGCGGCCGAGCGAGCCCCGGAGCCCCGCGCGAGCTGCCCGGGCCGGGGATCCCCGCAACCTCTCGTTCGTCCTCCGAGCCGCGACGCCCGGCGCGGGCCAGGGGAGACGCGACCCCGCGCCGGCCACGCTCAAGAAAGGAGCAGAGCGCGAGGGGGCCCGCTGGGCGCGGGGCGACGACCTCGGGGCCCCAGGCCCGGGCTCACGGCGCGCACCGGGGGCCGAGGCGCACGGTCCCCGCCGCCCGGGCCGCCCTGCGCGCCCGCCCTCCCCGGGGCCCCGGCCTCCCGCGCCCACCCCGCGGCCGCCCCTGCCCTCCGCGCAGTCAGGCCGGCGGCCTCGGCGGACCCGACGCTCTGCGCCCGGCGCGCGCCCGCGGCGGGAGCGGGGACGGGGACGCGGACGCGGACGCGGGGGGAAGCCGCGGCGGGCGCGGGCGCGGTACCTGCGGGTCGATGTCGCCCACCGCGTAATACTTGACCTCCCTGAACATCTCCTCAGGAACTTTGGGCGACTGGTCCGACATGATCGCGGCGGCCCGGGAGGCTCCGCGGCGGCGCCCGGCCCCGCCCACCCCCCGCCCGCGGCCCCCACGGTGCCCGGCGCCCCCGCTCGCCCCGCCAACGGCCCTGCCCGCGCGGGCCGGGCCGGGTCCTGCGAATCGGGGTCCGCTCCCCCGCCCTCCGCGCCCCCGCCCGCGCCCGCGCCGAGCGCCCGAAGCGCGGGAGCCGCGCGCGCCCTGCGGGACGCACCATCCCGCTCCGGCCGCCGAGGGGGAGCGCCGAAGAGCCGCCCGGCCGCCGGTGACGCCCCGCGCCTGTGCCGCCGCCCACGGTCCCCGGAGAGCTGACAGCCGCGGACTAGCTTCGAACCTTGCGGTTCCGTGGCCACCGCTCTGCAAGGCGGGAGCTCTTGGGACGAGGGGAAACCCGCGCCCCCCTCGGCGGGGCCGGAGTGAGCCGGTCGCGGGGAGGAGGGGAGCAGGCAGGCCCCTCCCGTCACCACACGCGGCTGCTCCAGAGCGGCGCATGCGCGCGGCGGAGGGGGCGGGGCTGCGGGACCGGGCGCGGGAGCGGGCGCGGGAGCGGGAGCTGGATCCGGATCCGGGCCCGGGCCGCGGCCTCCTCGGGCTCATTGGCCCGGGGCGGAGTGGGGTTGGGGGTCGCAGGCTGTTCGCGGTGGCCGAGAGCGCGGCCGGACCTGGAGTAGTGCCTCGGCGCCCCTGCTGGGAACGGCCTGGGGCCCCGCTGTCCTGAAGGGCAGGGCCTGGTCCCCGGCGTCGCGCCCTGTCCGCGCTGGCGGAGCGTCCCAGACGGCCGAGCCCGCGCTGCACCTGCAGCCCCGGGAACCCCGGGAAGCCCCGCTCGGCAGGTCAGCGCTGCACGGCGGCGGTTCTAGGGCTCATGCTCTTATGCACACCTCGCCTGCCTTCCGCCACAAGTCCGCAGACACGGCAGAGTGGCCTCGGGGTCACCTGCCCGAGACACCTGCGCGACCGAAAGTTGGGAGGAGAAATCGGGCCTGGATGACGAACGCGGCCGTTTTTATTTCCCGTCTCACGACAAAGCGGAGACCAGAAGCTCCCGGGTGATGATCGGAATATTACCTGGTCCTAAAACTGGAGCACTGTTTGTGAAATTAATCTGAACCAGGCCCGCGGTGTCCTTCCCACGGACCTGAAGTCACTACTGCCAAGCAGAAAACTTTTTTTTTTTTTTTTGAGACGGAGTTTCGCTCTTGTTGCCCAGGCTGGAGTGCAATGGCGCGATCTCGGCTCACTGCAACCTCCGCCTCCTGGGTTCAGGCAATTCTCCTGCCTCAGCCTCCCGAGTAGCTGGGATTACAGGCACACACCACCATGCCCAGCTAATTTTTGTATTTTCAGTAAAGAAATACAAAAGGGTTTCACCATGTTGACCAGGATGGTCTCGATATGTTGACCTCGTGATCCACCCGCCTCGGCCTCCCAAAGTGCTGGGATGACAGGCGTGAGCCACCGCGCCCCGCCCGCGGGAAACCATTTTTAAGTAAATGTTAGTGAAACTGGTTTTAAAAAAGAGAAGGGGCCGGGCGCTTTGGGAGGCGCAGGCGGGCGGATCATGGGGCCAGGAGATCGAGACCAGGCTGGGCGACACGGTGAAACCCCGTCGCTACTAAATATAGCCTGGCGTGGTGGCGGGCGCCGGTAATCCCAGCTACTCTGGTGGCTGAGGCAGGAGAAATGCTTGAACCCGGAAGGGGGAAGTTGCAGTGGGCCGAGATGGCGGCAGCTGGACTCCAACTCAAAACAAAGAAAAGGCTTTCAGAATTCCTCTGTGCTACACTAACGTAACAGATTAGATCACTTTCCAGGCTTTAAGTTGGCCTTTGTTCTATCATTTTTTTTTTAACATGAAAGTTGTGTTGGTTCGTTGATCAACATGCAATCTGTTGTTAATCAGGTGAATACAGTTTTGTCTTTAAATTTGTGTGTGTCGTGAGTGGTTTTGTACAGGCAGAAGGTAAACCGCACATTTAAATATACTTAATGATTTATCATTCCAATGTTTGCTGTTTTTTTTGTGTGTGTGGTTTTTTTTTTTTTTTAGTCTTTCTCATTTGTCTCTTGAACAATCTGAAATTCTAAGGCTCAAAAATTTATTTTACAAATTTAGGTTGATCATTCCTAATCTGAAAATCTGAAGTCTAAAATGCTCTAAAATTTGAAATTTTTTGAGTGCTGACATGACCCCACAAATGGAAAATTTCACACGTGCCCTCCTGTCACACTGGTTCACAGTCAAATCACAATCAAGCCAGGTGTGATTGTGTAGTGCCAGCTCCTCGGGAGGTTGAGGCAGGAGGATTGCTTAAGCCCAGGAATTTGAGTCCAACCTGGGCAGTATAGCAAGACCCTTTCTAAAAACAAAACAGTGAAAACATTTTTTTTAATAAATGCCATCAAAACTTTGTTTCATGCACAAAATTATTTAAAATATATAACCTTACCTTCAGGCTATGTGGGTAAGGTAAGGTGTATGTGAGACAAATGAATTTTCCATTTAGACTTGAGTCCCATCCCCAAGATATCTTATTACATATATGCAAATATTCCAAGTCAAAAATATCTGAAATACTTTTGACCCAAGTATTTCAGATAAAGTTTATTCAACCTGTAATTAAAAACACTGAGTGCTTGCCTGAAGGAAAAACCAAGAATTTATCATCCATCCTTAATTTTGTATGACATCCTTTCTAATCAGGAAAACTTCAATTACCTAAAAATATATTTGATATATTCTGGTATATATTTTCATTATGATGTTTTATGTTCTATGTTGGGAACATACCAGTGTAATAAATACTGTAGATCCAAATACAGATCATGCCTTTTTATTGACCTGTGTGAGAGAACTTATTTATCCTTTCTGTGTGAGAGAACTTATTTATCCTTTCTGTGTGAGAGAACTTATTTATCCTTTCTGTGTGAGAGAACTTATTTATCCTTTTGGTTTTTCTTTTGTCTTTTGTTTTTTGAGACAGGGTCTCACTCTATCACCCACGGAGTGCAATGGTGTGATCTCGGCCCACTGTAACCTCCACCTCCCAGGATCAAGCGATTATCCTGCATCAGCCTCCCGAGTAGCTGGTTCTACAAGTGCGTGTCAGCACACCCAGCTAATTTTCATATTTTTAGTAGTGATGGAGTTTTACTGTGTTGGCCAGTCTGGTCTTGAACTCCTGACTCATGATCTGCTGACCTCGTTCATGATCCGCCTGCCTCAGCCTTCCAAAGTGCTGGGGTTGCAGGTGTAAGCCATGGTGCCTGGTTGTCCTTTTGTTTTTCTTGGGTAAACACAAACTAAGTAGGTGATTTTATGTTAAAAGGCCTGAAGTGGACTTCAACTAGGTATTTTATTTTGTGAATTAAGAAAGCAAGTTGTAATGTTCCAAAGAACAAGCTTACCCTACTTCAGGTTCTGATAGTCAATAAGGTAAATTGTGGGATTAAGAAATCTGCTATTTAAGGCCTGAACAATGGCTTACGCCTATAATCCCAGCACTTTGGGAGGCCGAGGTGGGCAGATCACCTGAGATCAGGAGTTCAAGACCAGCCTGGCCAACATGGTGAAACTAAAAATGCAAGTCTCTACTAAAAATGTAAAAATTAGCTGGCCACGGTGGCGTATGCTTGTAATCCCAGCTACTTGGGAAACTGAGGCAGGAGAATCGTTTGAACCCGGGAGGCAGAGGTTGCAGTGAGTCAAGATCACACCACTGCACTCCAGCTCGGGTGGCAGAGTGAAACTGCATCTCTAAATAAATAAACAAATAAATCTATTTAAAACCCCATCAACCTGTCAGAATTCGTAAAATATCACATGTGAACTGTGCGAAGCGGTCCACACAAGTGGATCTTACAGGAGCAGCATCCGGAAGGGCTGGAGGCAGTGCCACACAAAATACACCTCGGAAAGTCTCAAATACTACTGCTCGACCAACAATGAAAAATAAAAATGTTTAAATTAATGCCATGTGGATAAAGGATGTTCTGAGGAAGTCTAAAAATCTGGCACCCTGACATCATGAAGAATAACCCATCTAGCAGAGGATGTAAAGATGGCAAGTCAATGTTTAAAGACAAGTGGTAAACTCACAGAAATTATCTTCCCCAAAATGGCCATTTTGCTTATGGAACAAAATATAATGTTGACACTCCTGTATCTTATTCACAGTTAAATAAATTTCTTATTACCGGTTTTGTGACACATAAAGAATGATCCATTTGTAGGGTAATAACTAGCAGTTTATTAAACAGAAGCTTTGTATTTGTTTTCTATAATTTGAAGCATATACCACTTCCAGATATGACACTGAGCATTATGATTTTTAGACTTCCCCCAAGTAAATTCAAAGCATGATCATTTTGTTGATGATCAGCCTTTGGAGAATTAAACAGCCTGCTTACTGCCAATACTAGTCCAGTAAATATGGTAATATGTTTCTCATTTTCTATTTTGCAAAGTTAGATAACCTGAGCCTAGGAAAAATACAAGTGAGAATTTTTTTTTTTTAAGTAGAGTTGGGGATATTTAACTCAAATTGAACCTACTGGTGGAAACTCTAGGCAGTTATTTAGATTATTTCCAAGTGGCTTTTAAAAAATGTATTTCTATATTGTATACAGCAGTCTCAGTCTCGATCTCTCCTGTTCAGTTCAGCTAGCTGTACATCCCTTAAGTTAGATATTATTAATGTTTAGTAAACCTTAGGTTTGGATTCATAGACAACATTTAACTTTCTCATGAAAGGGTCAGAATACTTAAGTTGCAGGCACAAACAGGTCATAGTTTAATGGCAGGGGAACCTGAACTCAAAATTTGATCATTGCTTCTCTGTAGGAAATATTCCATCAGTGAACTACACGGCACAGTTGGCACCACTGTCATGTCGCTATTCCATGTTGGAAAACTAGAAGTCCCGAGTTACGAAAAAGTGTAAATTACCCCAAATCCTATACCCAGAAGCAACCACTATTGAAATCCTTCTATACATTGTTCCATATAAATATTTTTTCCGTAAAAGAA